GAAATTTGATAGAAACCTAACATATCGCTAACAACAGGGGTTGCTTATAATACTTTCTGAATGGAACAGATGAATTTAATACTAATCGATCGCATCAAAATGTAAATAAAATAAACCCTTATCATATGCGATTAACAAATTAACAAAATGATATTCTTTATAATAAATTATTAAATTAAACCATAACTCTATAATCCAACATTTTAATTGGTTTAATGCTATAGCTCGTAGTGGGTTCTGTCTGTCCAAATATAAACTGATTAATTCGAACTATGATCTTAGAATTGTATTAACAAATTATAAGTGTATTTTTATTGATATTTTAATTTTTTTAAAATACCGTTGAATTAACCTTCAAAAATTTTATCCTGTGGTAGGAAGCTCATTCAGCCATGATAAAATCATAGATTCAAATCTCTCTTGTGAGGACGGGACAGGGTGTTTTGTAATTGTCCAAAAAGAAACCTAAAAAGTGGATGGCAAAATGTTTAAAATATTAATATAAAAATCTATTGACCATAATAGACTGTTTGTCGTATATCTATACCCCGTTGCGTGACAGCCCATAATAAAAATCCTGTGGTCCATTCCAATTCCATTGGCGGAGCCGAAGACTATGATAAAAAAGTTTTTGCAATTTTTATAATGTGTAATGTCTCCATCAAACTTGATAGGTGACGAAAAATTTGGCACTACACAATTATTTACTCTTAAATTAATTTTGCCTGGAAAACTCAAACCACCCACCCAGTAAAGTTAATCTAATATAAATTATGATGTTCCAAGATATTTTTAAATTAAAAATGATTACTAAATATAATTTCCCAAAATATATTAAAGTATTTTGAATTATATATATTTAATATATAAGTAAACGACTTTTTCTCACCCAATGTTTGCCTTAGTGACACTTTTCCACCAAAAAGGTTTCAAAATATCATTTTTCCACTCAAAGTTTATATTCTGTTAATGTCCAAAGCTGATTCCAGCGGCAAAAATTCTCTCCGTCACCACTATTCGAACCTCCAATCTCTTTTCTATGAAACCCTTCTCAGTCCAGCACCTAATTTCTTGTCGATTGTCAGTCATTGCAAAGCTAGGGTTTCCTGTTCTTAACTGATGTATGATTGATTCTAGCGGTGAATATTTAATCAGTTACCACCATTCAATCCATCAACCTCCACTCTGTAAAACTCCTCTTGCCCTAGCTCCTGGTAACTCGTCGAACACCGACTGAGAAAGTGAAGCGTATTTTGGGTATTAACGGAATATAAACTTTAGGTGGGAAAGTGTTATTAAGGCAAACCTTGGGTGATAAAAAGTCATTCACTTATACACACACACATTAGAACATCTTTATAGTGATACTCTATATAAGATTAACCTCCATATAGTCATAAAAAATTATGGTCTCAACTTAGGCTAGTTATAGATAAGAATAAATTTTACATTGTAATAAGTTATAATTTTTCTAGATCACATCTTAAGGAATTTGCCTCTACATAGTAATAATTATATGTATATTGCAAAAAATATATGTTATGTTACATTAAATGTTTAAGATGAAATAAAATATTTATCTAAAGTTATTTGACAATGATTTATGTTTCAGAGTTGTTACCACATCTTTTATCTTACCGGTTCATAATCAGTTACCAAAATATTTATAGCTTTTCAAACATGTTTAGAGTTTCTTGACACGAAACTTTTGGTATTTCCGTACTATCATCCTTAGGATTATCTCCTTCCTCTTGTCTACTTCCAATAATTTTTTTTTCTTCAATTAAAGTATATACGACATGTTACTCATTTGGATAATTGAAGAAGACATTAATATCTATTTGATTAGTGTAGTGAAGTTGTCGAATTTGATAACTTAATTCTGCAATAATTATTTGATATATATTTCCTTACTATTCTAATACTACTAAAATAATGAATTGAAATCTTAATACTACTAAAACATGAATTATAAAATAAAAAATAAAAACTATAATTTTTTAATAAAAAAATAATTATTGTAATTACACATCTCTTAAGTTATAACTTCTTTATAATAATAAATTTAGTTGGTCCAACATGATGATTATTGAAAGATTCTACTGTCTCTATATATGGGAGAGAATGCAAATTTTGATATTTGTGTTAATTTTTATTTTTTTTTAATGTAAGCATTAAAAAGCATACTCAATAATATTAATTGTATGAATTCATGTGTTAGATGAACCAATCTTGTGAAAGGTTTGTTGAATTAATAATTGAGATTTGAATGTACTTTCCGATTCAACAAATAAATAATATTACAAAAGATTAGCACTTTGAATGCATGCATGTTGTTCAAGTTGTCCAAGAAAATGACTTATTAAAGTTTTAGATTAAAATAAGAAGATGGTCTCTTAAACCATAATTATTTTCATGAGAATCAAATCCCACTTTAGGACATTTCTACTTAAATTTTGCGGTTAAAATAAAATAATCCATCAATTGCTACAAATCAAAACTTAGCACATAATTCTTTTCCACGTGGGCATTGTGCATAACAATCAATACTTCACTTGGAATTGGAAACAGCTAGATTCTGACAAAGATAAACTCTATTATTACTCACATCTTTAATTACCCAAATATAATTCAGGTCCACCATGATGGGACAAAATATGCTTCATTCAAATATCATGTATTAATTACTACATATATGTCATATATATATATATATATTTTAAAACCTATTTCTTGTTTTTCATTTTTTTTAATTAATATTTAAAATAAGTACTTTTATATAATCTTTTGTTTTTATTGCCGCAAAATAAAGAATTTAGGACCAGGAAAAGAAAAAAAATTCAAACTTTCTCTACTTCTCTTTATTATAAAACAAAAATTCCAGTTTTAAACCAATGATTTTATTAAAAATTTGGAATAATTTTTTTTTTTTCTATTTAAGGCAAGCTCTTGAAAATGATCAAAACAAATTATAATTTGAAAGATTTTTATTAATTATGTTGGTGATAAATTTCATATTTTTATGTTTGTATTTTCAATTACATTTCATTTTCACATTTAAAAATAATATTTTATATAGATATATTATTCCCCAGACCCATCCTAGAATTATCGGTCAGATACGAGCTTCAATGATCACCTTTATTAGCAATAGTGAGGATTTGAACTCGAGAGACTATGTTAGATCCTCCTCTTGCTCTTTTATCCTTAAGGGAACTATAATTTAGGAGATTATGTTAGATCGTAAGGACTCGAATTTGAGAGACTATGTTACATCTTCCTCTTATTTTTTTACCCTCAAAGAAATTATAACTTAGGAGACTATATTAGATCATCCTTTTTCTTTTTTATTATCAAAGAGACTCAAAATTTAAAAGATTATGTTAAATACTTGTATACTCATTTATCATGAATCTATCAATAATAGTTAATATTATTTATTTAACACAACCAAAATTGTTATACAAAAACATATTTTGGTAACATCAATATTTTATTCTCGCGGTGCAACAAATGTGTATTAAGTTAATCAAAGCAAGTGACTTGGTTGGTTCTAGAAGTATCGGGTAATAAATTCTTTCTTGCAATCTCAGCCATCAAAAACTTAAAGACAACACTGGAGACAAACTACACCGGCATTGTACGGGATCATCGGTCACTGTGATTATAATTACCGATGAGGACTTAAATACCAATAAACTTTTGTCAGAAACCTTTCACGTGTCACCAAAATGTAGGCCTACTGGATGCGTTGGCACCAAGCACAACAACACACGTGTACAGAGAATAAGCGTAAGAGTGGCCCGTGAGCCACGGCAGAGGTTGTGGTTGGGGAAACAAAAACCTCGTAACATGAGCTCATAAAAACACTCCACCATCTTTCAAAAAAAAAAAATCTAAAATAAAATAATAAAATTAATTGTTAGTTGTAATAAATAAATAAAAAAAATTAGAGAAGCGTCCATGAGACTGGTAAAAAGAGGGGCACATCATACATCATGATGAAAAAGAATGGGGGAGGAATGGGGCCCACGAGTGATGGGCTTTTGGGAAGAGTGGGACCCGCGAAAGTGGGAAGTGGGGAGGAAAGGACAAAAGAAAGAGAGAAAAAGTGTAAACGGTGACGTCAAAGAGTTTGAGTAAAGGGAAAGGTGGAGGGGGCGTGTGAAACCATGGTTTTTCGAGAGGTTTTCGGTAGTACAACAACGTATTATTTAGTTGAGCGCCTTTCTTCATTTCACTCTCACTCTCATTCATGGCGCGTGGCGCTCAAAAGATTTTTATGAGTTATGATATTTTAATTTCTCACCTCTTAGGCTCCTCATGCCCCCACTCATATTTCACCATTAATAAAAAGGGATTTGTCTCGTTAAGGTTTTTAATTTCAGATTTATTTCATTTTCCCCCAATAAAATCGATTTAAAAAAAAGGGGAATGCATTTAATTTGAAACGATCTCTTAGAAAAATGAAATGGCACTTCTAACAAATAATATTCTTCATTTCATTAATTGCTTTTCAATAATCTCCATACCTTCTGGTTACAGCACAAGGTGAAAGTCTTTGGTTTGACCCACCCAAACGAAGAAAAATATCTCTCAAGTCTCCAGAGTCCTTACCACTCAATATTGAGAGGAGTGAATGTGACCGGGAGTAGCCAGGCCGGTGTAGTCGTTACGTTAACGCGCAACAAATGAGCGTGGGGTCGGTTCAATAATTTTAACGTTGCATAACCGAGACTACACACCATGTGCCGTTAGGTCGCGAGTGGGGCTCTTTATAAAATTTTAAGTCTCCAGTATGAGCTCGTAATATTCCCATTTTACCATCAACATTCCCTACAAACCACAAAAATACCATCCCACTTAGTTACACACATTCTCCAGCATCTCACGTGATGGCATTTTTGTAGATTCAGAGAAAATGGATGTCAAATAAGTTTATAGTTTCTAACTAAAATTCTTAGAACTGGGAGATGCAGGTAATGAAAGCCAATAGATTTTCTCTCGCATACCTGCCGTTGTTTAGAGCTATGGGTTTTGCTATAAAAACATGTCATTCCGTTACCAACCCATCTTTATAAACATCAACTCTCCTCTTTTTTTCACACTCCAGGGCACTCTTCTAGTCTTCTCTCTCTCTCTCTCCTGAACCGTCTTGCATTTGTGGAACTTTGTAAAATTTACAGAAATGGATACTGTAGTTTCAAGAAGGCCTTGTTTCATTGAAGAGGATGATGGGTTGGCTTCTTTAGCTGATATGGAAGCTGGGTTCTCTGGGAACCATCACCAGAATAAATATACTTTCTTTTCTAGACCTCTTTCTTATGCGAGGAAGAGTAGTTTCTTGAATATTTCTTCATCGTCTTCCACGGCTTGTTTTTCTCCGAGATCTGGACCCAGGTTTTATGATGCGAGATATGAAGAGCATCAACCTTACTTCTTGGAAGCCTGTTCTCTTTGCAAGAAACTTCTTGGAAATAGAGACATCTACATGTACAGGTCAGCCATTGTTCTTAGGTCTTTCAGATGAACTTTATATTTTAATTTTGGAAGAAAAGAACTACCTTTTTATATGTTTTTGAGTTATGTGTTTGGCTCCCAGATCTCAAACTTACTGTTAACTTTTAAATTTCTGGAATTTCCATTGTGATTGACGAGACTTTAAAGAAATGGAAATGAAAACAAAGTAATTTTATACCGAAAGGCCTAAACTTGACTAGTTGGCAAACCCAAACAGGATGATATTTTGTTCTACAGATGGGATCTGGGAAGTCCAAATGAAATTAAAAGCCGGTTGTTTAGGAGTCTTTTCATAAAAGTTGAATAGCTTTGGGTGTTTGGTCTTGATTTCTGATCAGATTTTGGTGTTTTGCAGAGGAGACACTCCATTTTGCAGTGAGGAGTGCAGACAAGAGCAAATAGATATGGATGAAGCGAAAGAGAAGAACCGGAACCTCTCCTCATCCATGAAGGCTTTAAGGAAGAAAGAGCAGAGGAAATCAGCAACCAAAAATCAGGAGTACTCGTTCCGTACTAGCACTGTTGCAGCGGCTTAATGAACATGCTATAAAATAAATTACCATATTTCATAAACCATAAAGAAAGAAAAAGCGAAAAAGGAAAAAAATCAAGAGTGCAAACATGGAGGATTGGAACCACAAAAAGAAGGGCCAAAGAGAATGAAGAAGAAAGGAGAGACGCAGTCCAACTCAACCCATGTTCAAAACTTTATCAACCTTTTTATAGTTTAATTGTGAATACATATATAAGGAGTGTGTTTTGCTTATATGTACTCAGCGAGGAGAGGAGGATGGCTCTTGTTTTTTTTGTCCTAAGAATTAATCTTTTTGTTTCTCCCTGGAGCAATGCTTTGTCCAAAAGAAATTAAGAAAAAAAAAAATCGTGAAATATACCATAGAAATCTTTGATTGCAAGCTGTGGCTGCTTTGTTTATTTTTGGGCTTCTTGCTTTGTTGAAGTGTAGCAGACGAATATTTCTGAAGAATGATATTTTACTCATCAGGAAATTTCTGGGTGTCCACCGTGTTCCGTTTACTGTTAATTGCTTTTCTGGGAATAAATTATTGCATCTTTTTATGTGAGAGATGGAGCTTCCTGGTAAACTGGAAGAAAGTGGGGTTTGTGGAATTTGTTCAAGTGCTTTTCGGTAAAAAGCTTATGCTTCCCGTTAAAGTCTTGAAAAACTTGAAACATGTTTGTGACTTTGTGTACAGTTTTGAAAGATACAACCACTAACACCAAAGCCATACCTCCTTTTTCTAGGTTAATTGATTGAACTATTGAAGCAACTCAGAAAAATATTGAAATATGGTGTCTGCCATTTTAATTATCCTACCTTAGTTTTCCAGTTAAAGTATTTGAATAATAATCTTCAAGAAATTATCAGGAACTGGTGATTTGTTTTAAATTGTGAAATGATAGGCCTCTCCTATCATGTTTTTTTTTCCGCAAATATCACTTCATTGTTCATCAGATTTTCCTTCATTTCTAACTTTTCTTTCTTAAAACTTTTGAGCTGGTAATGGGAAAAATGGTATTACTTACTGGTGCTGTGTTTATTTTTTTCCTTGTAAATAGAATTTCTTGGTTCCATTTGGTAATTCAGTATTTTTCTAAATCTAACTAAATTCTTTTACCGACAAAAACTAGAGAGAGAGATGTTGGATTTCCTTATTGGGCTGACCCAATGAGTAGTACTATTACTGGAGTGGAGGTAGAAGAGCACCATTATGTGAGCTCGAAGATTAGGCCTCTCATAAAGTATAAAGTTCAGCGAAATTTCAATAAAGATTATCCAGGCCCAATGGGTGAATTCCAGAAATAACCGGTCCAAATGGAGATCCATGCACATGCCTAAGAGGGAACAAAACAACATTAGTGGCACGAGATCACACCTGTGCATTTCTAATAAACTGTATAGGTGCATGACGCTTAATAAATGGCACGTGTCGCTTGCTTCTTACTTGGATTAACACGACTAAAGTTGGTAAGCTTTTCCGCAAAAATATCTGTATATCGTCGGACAATAACCATTTCATCCCTGATATTTCATGAAAGTTATTTGTCTTGGGTGATTTTGAAAGTGACACTATCATCCCTATCAGTATCAGAGTATCAGTTTAGAGAGATGGGAAACGACTTACACCTACCAAGAATTTGCTTTAAAGATAGAATTAGTACCCAAAAAGTTTTGAAATGATGAATACCCACTTTCCTTCCAAATCTGTTAGTAAATCTGCTAACTAAAATGATATTATCAACATTCTATTATTTTTGTGGGGGTAATTTTGACTTTTTCTGTTTCAGGGTTTGTGCATAAAAAAATAAAAAAAGTTATAAAAAAATTGCATTAATAAAATATTAAAAAAATCCACCCAAATCTCTTATCCTTCTTCTTTCTCTCCCTTCTCTTTCTCTTATTATCTCCATTCTCTTTCTTCCCTTTCTTCTCCCTCTTTTTCCTCCAGTCAGTAGGCAAGAACCTGACACCGGAATATGGCTAGATCGAAAGCCTCCCTCCTCTCTCTCTTCCCGTCTTCATCTTCTTCATCTCTCTCATAAAATAGCAAAAAAAAAGGGGTCTTTTGCAAAGCTGTCGCACTTCTCTACCCATTTTCCGGAAGCCCCGTCACTGAAAACATTTCCTCTCCCCGCCAATCGTCTTTTCTGTGTGCCCTCTCCAAAACCCCCATTTTTCCCATCTTCGTTTACTCGCATTTCACCGCCCATTTAATTCCTAGGGTTTTTGTTGTTTGTTGAATTGTGATTGATTGATGTTTTTCAGAGTTTCGGATGGGAAATTGATGGTTGGAGATTAATTGGGAGTGTTTTTTTTTTTTTTTTTTTGTGTGTGTTTTTGTTTGATTTTTGGCAATTTCTGATCGGTTTTGGCATTGATGATTGATTTTCCAAGTTTTGGCACACCACTTGTTTGAGGTTTTGCCCCAAACCTTCTGTGCCTTGCGTGTTTTGGTTCTTTTGAGTGCTTGAGAGTGGTTCTTTGGGATTTTTTGCATTGAGTCTTTTGGTGATTTGAGTGAGGTTTTTTTGGGGCTTTGGACGTTTTTGTTGGTTGTTGTCCTGTGGTGTTTTGGCGAGAGATGAAGAAGATGAAAACAAAATTTTAATTAAAATTAATTATAAAAATAAAATAATTAAAATTGAGAAGAAAGATTTTATAAAATTAATATTAAAGAGAGAAAATGGACAATGTAGAATGTTATATTTTTTTGTTGGATATAAAATTACTATATTATCCTTTTTTAAATGAACTTTACTAACAGATTTGGACGGAAGGTAGGTAATTGACGTTTTCAAACTTTTTGGGTACCACATTTCTTCATAGCAAATTATGGGTGGGTGCATATCGTTGGGCCTTAGAGAGATCAACCAAATTGGCATGCTGACTCTTTTTTTTTTTTTTTTTTCTAAAGAAGACTATATTACCCCCTTTTTTGAAAGTATTTTTGTTAATTTGATGAAGACTTTTATTTTTCTAGAAACACATAAAATTAATAAGGAAAAAAATATAATATCAATCACAAAAAATCGAACACAACATCAAAATAACAAAAATTCTATAATTGCAAATCAAACATAAACATAAATAAATTAAATTTCATCATTCTTATTGTTTTGTTTTCTTTAAGTCTTTAATAGAGAATCTTTTGTGTTGTCGAATCTCCAAATTCTAGGAATCAATGACACTTGTTAGAGTGTTGTAGATGGTAAAAATCTACGGTTACGAAATGGATTGATCCTATGAGGTTAAGGCCACTGACGAACTGCTAAACTTGCACACACAAAGAAACAAGTGCGAAGCTTACGTAGAACATTGGTGTGATGTCTGTTGTAGGCACTCTGACGCTCAAGTCAGTGAGCCTGAAAAAAGTAATTTAGTAAGGGATAAGGGGAGGAAGGGTTACCAAAGTCTAACTGGAGATTAGAGCTATGACGAAGGTGCTAGTTCTTAGGAGCAAGAACTTTAGGAGCTAGTAGGTGGTATTGAATAATCGATACTTAATGAGAGGTCAGACCTCTGTTTATATAGTGAACCTAGGATCCTTGAAACCTAGTAGAACCATGGATTCATAATGGCAAAGTTTCAGTAAATAGGAAAGTCTTGATTTACTTGTCTTTGCATGAATAAAAGTCCTAATTCGTATAAGATTCAAGATCTTAGATGAATTAGGATGTAGATGAAATATCAAGTAGATGGATTAGGATATTAATTGAACACGGGATTCCTTGGAGTGCCAAATGGACTGACGGCGAGGCCTAATTCGGGATAAAGCTTTAGTGATTGGATGATCTAGTCCATGAGTAGCTTGGCTGGTGTAATGGGTTGGCCCATGACATGGATCTTAGAGTAGATCCTACCAGAATTGGGTCATGGAACTAGGCCATGCAATAGATGTTTCATGTTTGAATCTGATAAGGCCTAAGACGATTTTTGGCTCATACATTTTGTCTACCACTCTTTAAGTTAAGAAGCACTTAGCTTGGAGACTAGTCCAGTCCGAGTGGAGATGTTGGGACGAGCGAAGGCATCAGGCTGAATGAGGGTGTTAGGCCGAGTGAGGGTGTCAGGCCGAATGAATTAGGCTGAGTGAAGGTGTACTAGGCTGAGTGAAGGCGTACTAGGCCGAGTGAAGGCGTACTAGGTCGAGTGAAGGCATCAGGCTGAGTGAGGATATTAATTCGAGTGAAGGTGTTAGGCCGAGTGAGGGCATCATGCCTAATGTAGGTCTCTAGGGTCAGGAGAGGTTGTATGAAATTCACTGGGATGCGAAAGCGGTTCTTTGGTATCTGGTTGAATGGGAAGTATAGAGAGTAGAAATGAGTTACCTTTTCTCGTAGGGTTTGGTTCTTAGCCCGAATGTTGGCGTTCTCGACTTTTAGTGTTGTCACTTTGTCTATGTGCTACTACATTGATGTAGTGAGAGCCTTGACCTTAGCCACAGGTCTGCAGAGGCATTGTCTGTGGTTTTAGCCATGACGTGATTCTTTGTAAACCAGACTGCCGAATGTGCTAGTTCTTAGGAGCAAGAACTACAACGAATGTGCTAGTTCTTAGGAGCAAGAACTTTAAGAGTTAGTAGGTGGTATTGAATAATTGATACTTAATGAGACGTCAAACCTTTGTTTATATAGTGAAACTAGGATCCTTGAAACCTAGTAGAACTCTGGGTTCATAATGACAAAGTTTCAGTAAATAGGAAAATCTTGAGTTACTTGCCTTTGTAGGAATAAGAGTCATAATTCGTATAAGATTCAGTATCTTAGAGGAATTAGAATGTAGATGAAATAAGAAGTATATGGATTAGGATATGAATTTAACACTGGGTTCCTTGGAGTGATCTTAAGCTGATGGGCCTAAGCCCAAAAGGACTGACGGCTAGGCCCAATTCGGGACGAAGCTTTAGTGATTGGATGATTCAGTCCATGAGTAACCTGACCGGTGTAATGGGCTGGCCCATGACATGGATCTTAGAGTAGATCCTACCGAAACTGGGTCGTGGCATTAGGCCACGCAATAGNCTAGGATCCTTGAAACCTAGTAGAACTCTGGGTTCATAATGACAAAGTTTCAGTAAATAGGAAAATCTTGAGTTACTTGCCTTTGTAGGAATAAGAGTCATAATTCGTATAAGATTCAGTATCTTAGAGGAATTAGAATGTAGATGAAATAAGAAGTATATGGATTAGGATATGAATTTAACACTGGGTTCCTTGGAGTGATCTTAAGCTGATGGGCCTAAGCCCAAATGGACTGACGGCTAGGCCCAATTCGGGACGAAGCTTTAGTGATTGGATGATTCAGTCCATGAGTAACCTGACTGGTGTAATGGGCTGGCCCATGACATGGATCTTAGAGTAGATCCTACCGAAACTGGGTCGTGGCATTAGGCCACGCAATAGATGTTTCGTGTTTAGGCTTGATAAGACCTAAGACGATTTTTGGCCCATACAAGTGTTAGTGGAAGATGTTGTTAAATAGTCTTTGTGTTGAAAACTTAGAAGCAATAGATAAACAAAAATTTAGGTAAAATGCCATCCAATTTAGAGAGAAAGAAAAGTAAATTAGATAGAAAGTGAGCTCAACTTTTGTGCGTTGAATCTTCCTTTGCTTGTGCATTTCCCAAGAGTTTTTATACGTCCGTGGTCGTTGGAACAGGCTTGGCACTTAATTGGGTGTTAAATCTGTCAAGATGTTACTTTTAGAAGTTATAGGGATGAAAATGTTATTTTCTTCCATAAATGGTTAACTGCTCGTGTGCTAGCGTCCAGCCCTTAACGGATCTTTGCAGCGGGCACGTCGGCAACCTACACCGCCTCAGTATAGTGGTATTTAAGTAATTTAATTTAATTTATTAGCCTTGTCAGCATGAATAGGATAACGAGCAAAAATCTCCTGTGGTCGCTACCACAATGTCCTTCTCATAAGTCATAACGGCTAAAAATATCAGGCACATAGTACGTGCTCAGCAGAGAGTAGGTATGAACCTCACATAATTTCTATCACTTTAAATATGGAAAATTAGGGTTTATTTTTTCGTACATTCCTTTAAGATACCAAAAGATGCATAAATCAAAATAATTAGTTATCAATGGACATATATAAATATTTCTAATTGTTTTAGGGTTAATGATTTTAATCCCTAAAATTTATAAATACATATATTCTATGTCGTTAAGTTTAAAGTATAAAAAAATAATTATTTACAAAATAATCTAAGTTTCTCATAAAAAAATTCTTATTACATAATATCTTAAAGCANCAGCCCTTAACGGATCTTTGCAGCGGGCACGTCGGCAACCTACACCGCCTCAGTATAGTGGTATTTAAGTAATTTAATTTAATTTATTAGCCTTGTCAGCATGAATAGGATAGCGAGCAAAAATCTCCTGTGGTCGCTACCACAATGTCCTTCTCATAAGTCATAACGACTAAAAATATCAGGCACATAGTACGTGCTCAGCAGAGAGTAGGTATGAACCTCACATGATTTCTATCACTTTAAATATGGAAAATTAGGGTTTATTTTTTCGTACATTCCTTCAAGATACCAAAAGATGCATAAATCAAAATAATTAGTTATCAATGGACATATATAAATATTTCTAATTGTTTTAGGGTTAATGATTTTAATCCCTAAAATTTATAAATACATATATTCTATGTCGTTAAGTTTAAAGTATAAAAAAATAATTATTTACAAAATAATCTAAGTTTCTCATAAAAAAATTCTTATTACATAATATCTTAAAGCATCTCTAAATGACTCTTTATATAACCAAAACTCTTGATTATAAAAAGTTTATCCATAAAAACAAGAGTCTAACAGACTCTTTATTTTTAAAATATAAATTAGAGAGTGAGTTTGACTCTCCACATTTAAAGAGTCAAATTTTACTCTCTATCTTAATTTTAATTAATAAACTACAAGTTTCTATGCATTTTATTTATTAATACTCTCTCCCATTAAATCTCTTTCTTAAAAATAAATAGCATTTTCGTTAAATTTAAAGACTTTATTAGATTTGCATAAAAATTGTGTTATTTATATTTTAAAATTAATGAAGATATTCTTTATTTATATAAAAGATACGCTCTTTATTTATATAAAAGATATTCTAAAAAAGAAAGAGTACAATTGGAGATGCTCTTAGATCATTGTCTTTAAATCATCGCTATATAATAAATATTATAAATTTCTAATAATCTTTCAATAATTTATAGTAAAATCACTTCAATTCCTATGGCATTGTAGAATTTTTATTAACATTTTGGGGGAAACATCAAACAAGGGTGTAAGCAGCTACCATAAAACCGCGCACACCTGATAGCTAGATCGGCTATAGCTTCTAGTTCAATAAGCCTAGCGTGTTCGAAGGCAAAAGTTACGTGTTCTTTAACCCACGAATCTTTCTCCCTCATTCTGTCCAGAGTCGAAATGCGCACACACAACACAACACACACTCTTTCTCTCTTATTTTCTCCCGCCCTCTGTCGGTTCTTGATTTCGTCGATTACTCTTTTGCTCAAGTAGATTATATTTTTAACTGTTGATTCTTCAACCATCAACATAGGATTTCTAAGATGTTGGAGGATCAGGTGGCGAATTTGTTACAGAAATATTTGGGGAATTACGTGAAAGGTCTCAATAAAGAAGCTCTCAAAATCAGTGTCTGGCAGGGTCCGTCTGACTTTTTCTTTTTCTTTTTATTTTCATTTTCAACTTTGATTAAATTCAACTGTTTCTAGTTAAGTTTCCAGTATGCTACTTGTTTGAAGATTTACTTGCGGAAAGTAAGTTCTAACTAGTTTGCCAAGTGACTGTGACTAGGTTTTGTGATTGTGCAAAAGTGACGACGTTTTAGTACTGAATTTGATTCCCGCAATTGATTCTCAGTGAATTCAATGCTGATAACCCGCAAGCTTAAAGGAAGATACGTATAAATATTGGAAATAGGGTTAATATAATGACATTTGAAATGTTTTATGGAGGGTGTTTGTTTCAGTTTCATTTGCAAATAAATAATGGTTATGGTCTTATAAACTTTTCTTAAGATTATTAGGGGTTCTAATTTGTATGTTCAACCTTATCTCTATTAAACTGTGCCTTCTCTCTTACCTAGCATAGTGTAGAGACCTTCCAGGGAAAAAAAAAAAAAAAAATTAAATTGATGCATATGATTTCAAACATGGAACTATATAGAGAGAAAATCTGTCATGTTTTGTTTATGGATTCAATTACATTTTGACATGAGAGTCATAATTCTAATTTGGGGAATATTTTGACGTGAGAATCATAGTTCTATCATCTGTGTGGGTAAGTTTTACTTTAGTAGCTGTAATATGATGAGCTGAGAACGTCAGCCATATTAGGTGAGCTTAGATTTTATATTATATTACTGATTGATATCACTGTAGAAAATTTAAATGACCAATTTATTCCAGAATTTCGAAATTCCATCATGTTATCTTTCTCTATTTTTTTTTTTTTTGGATAAGTATCTTTCTCTTTTTATTTACGGTTGTTTATTAGTTTTATATTTTCTAAATGTAAAACAGGTGATGTAGAGCTAAAAAATATGCAGCTGAAGCCAGAGGCTCTTAATGCATTAAAGTTGCCTGTTAAAGTTAAGGCTGGATTTCTTGGATCAGTTAAACTTAAGGTTTGTGGAGTCTTAAATTTTTTGTCTATTAGGCGCAAATGAAATCGTGACACAGATGTACTTTGAATATTCACTCAATGTTTTATAGGAACAATCTACTCTTTTTTTTTCCCGGTTTGACATGATGAACGTTCATTAAGTTGACTTAAAGTATTGATCAGAATAAAACAGACTGGCATTTTGTCAGGATTTGATATGTGGGAGTGCATCTTTTTTTTTTTTTTTTTTTTTTTTTAAATTTTTACTTTTTAGCCTTGTTGCTGCTATATCAAATCCATCAGTATGGAGCTGCATTTCCGAATTTGTTGAACTACAGACGGAAGAGTTGAATATGCATGTTGTGATGAGGTGGGAGAGTGAAGTTGGTTTGGTGCATAATATGGTAAATGTTCTAGGAGAAAATGGGTCCATATTATTTCACATTTTGGAGTCTGACCTTCTGAGGTGTCTAAGTAGACCTAAGTGGACATTTTTCTATCTTTTAAAGAAAATTCTTTGAGTGTTATATAATTGTGCTAGACGTTGCTGGCAGACTGGTCATTCGCTTCGGATTACTTAATTCTGAAGTAAGGAGCAATACCAAAAAGTTTATGGATGAGATTTCCAAGTTTGTAGAGACTGGCTGTATAGTTTTTCCATTGCTCAACTGCTTCTATTTCCTTACTTATGGGACAGATTTTTTGTTGATTGGTGAATTTCATCTATCTTCTTACTACTGTGAATATTTCTTCAAAGATCTGTGATCTATTTTGGTTTCAGGTCCCATGGAGCAGGCTAGGCCAAGATCCTGTTTTAGTTTATTTGGATCGAATTTTTTTACTAGCTGAACCTGAAACTCAAGTTGAAAGATGCAGTGAGGAAGCTGTCCAAGAAGCTAAGAAAAGCCGAGTACGGGTAAGAGGGTGTGCCTTGTGTATCTTGATGTTAGTAATGGCAATTAGTATATGCTTGGATGAAGAATTAATTTTGTACTTGTATTTTCTTTTGGGTGAAAGGAAATGGAAATGAAAATGTTGGAGAGAGCACAGCAAATGAAATCAGAAATGGTATGGTCAACATGATTCTTTTTGAGCTGTATTTACAATAGCAATGTTAATTTTCTGATCATGTCACTGCACATCTTTAGATTTATTGAAATAGAATGCAAAATTTTCTATTTAGATAGCAAAATCCTTCACTTTGTGTTCCATGATTTATAGTCCTGGCTTTAGAATCCCATGAGTCATATCCTAGGTTCTTTTATGATTGGTTAGATTTAAGAGTCATTGCTTCACTTTCATGAAACACTTCAAACATTCAATGTTAGCCTAAAAACAAATACTTTAATTGTTGTCTACATATGTCCTAAGCAAGCTACTGTGACTTGGCAGACTCTATAAATCAGAAATATCTTTCTTTTTGGAATTTTTCAGATATTAGTACTTAAAACTGAATACTTATAAGACTGGAAGATCTGATAGGCTAACTCCTCTGCATTTGGACTATTATTTTTTGTGGTCTATCCACTTCCTACTATTTTCATTCTTGTTATGCTGCATGATTTGTGCACCTAGTTTAAACCTGCCGTTTTTTACTTTTTTGAAGAATAAGTCATGGTTGGGATCCCTTATCAACACAATAATTGGGAACTTGAAACTGTCAGTGTCAAATATCCATATCCGATATGAGGATGTTGAGAGGTAAGGAAGAAACTGAATTTTGATTGCATAATCATCCATCAACTTGTATTGAAGGCTTTTTGACTTCTTTTTGTAGCAACCCCAATCATCCATTTGCTGCTGGTGTAACCTTGGAGAAACTCTCAGCTGTGACGGTTGATGATAGTGGGAAGGAAACTTTTGTAACTGGCGGTGCACTAGACCGTATACAGAAGGTTAATATTTTCATATATATGTAACTTTAATTTGTTGAGAAATATGGCATATTTTTCTTCAATTCTAACACTTTTTAATTTGTGGAAGTTTCCACAAAATGACTTTGCTGCATCTTTTAAATCGTTTAAGATTATTTGGAAAGTAAGTTTTCTGATAATTTGTTTCACTGGCAATGCCATTTTGTCCTTCTTTGAAAATCCATAGAGTTGATTCAAATGATGTGTGTATATCAGCTTGTGTACATGGGGATGGATCTCTTGCTGTAATGAGCTGTGGGAAAATCATTGTTTAATTGAAGAAATGGAGAAAACAAACCATTTCTTTTACCTTGATGTGTTGTGCTTGGATATATGTTTTCTCATTCTCTGCTTGGGTTATAATGTTTCTATTCCTCGTTGTTTCAGTCGGTGGAACTTGATCGACTTGCCATTTATCTAGATTCTGATATAACCCCATGGAATTTGGACAAGCCATGGGAGGACTTGCTTCCTTCCGAGTGGGTTCAGGTATTTTCTTGTCTGTTTTTTAATGATAATCTCACTTTTTTGCACATGTTGTTTATTTTTCTTTTCTCCTAGTTGTACTCATGCCAGCTTCCCTGAGCTTCAGGTTTTTAGATTTGGCACGAAGAATGGTAAACCATCGGATAGTCTTATGAAATCCCACATGTACATTCTACAACCTGTGACTGGGAATGCAAAGTACTTGAAGCTGCATGCAAATGAATCGGCTAATGGTGGTCAGCGTCTACAAAAAGCATTGGTCAACTTGGATGATGTGACACTTTGTTTGTCCAGGGTATTTTCTAATGTTTCCACTCCATGCTTCAACTCTGAGTGTTATAGGTTTCAAATGGTTTTGACTCACTTAAAATATCATGTTTACAGAATGGGTACAGAGATATTCTGAAATTAGCAGATAATTTTGCTGCCTTTAATCAACGCTTGAAATATGCCCATTATCGTCCGCTAGTGTCTGTGAAATCTGATCCAAGGTCTTGGTGGAAATATGCATTCAAAGCTGTTTCTGACCAGATAAAGAAGGCAAGGTAGTTAAATTAGTAAATCTCCTTTATTTTTTTTCATATGCGATTTATTCTTGCATCTTATGCTAGAAAATAAACTAGGATGACAAACCCTTGTGAACTTTTATCATTTTGAATTCTCATATTTGCTAGAATAGTTTCGATTTCAAAAATCCGCTTATCCGTTTTAATCACTTATAGAAAGAGTTTTCATGATTACTTCTAAAAAATGTTCAGCAGAGATGTAAATAGAATTACCCTCTTTGATACTTCAGAAACCTATGTAATTTCTTTCGAGTGTTTAAGAAGAAATTACTATTATTATAGCATACAGGACATTACTTAAGTAATACTCTTATACAAACTTCGAATACAAAAATCAGAACTTCTTGACCTTGAAGCTGAAAAAATTTATTAGTCCTTTATTTTGGATAAGATCTTTAAAAAAGTTGGTGTGATGATTTCTCTCTCTTTACTTTTATTCTATTTTCTCTGTATTTGTTTTTTTTTTTTTTTTTTTTTTTTAATGGGGTGTAAGAAATGGATATACCTAATGTTCTTGCCTGAATCTAATGTATTGCAATTAAAAGCCTGGCCTTTACATATGACTGATGATTAAGTTTTGTGTGCCTCCAAAATGTCTGATTGTGATCCTCATCATCTTCCTCTTTCTTCAGTAGGTTTTATTGCAAGTTATCTAGTTTATCTCATGGTTTGGCTAGTCTTTAGAGATTTTAATCTTGCATGTTGGGTGTCTGTCCCTTGACTTTTTTGATGAATTTGAATTTGAAACAAAGGCATAAGAATCAGTGGGTGCTTGAGTCTCCTAACATCAGTTGCCGGGCTCTGGATTTTTTGTTAAATGGTTTTTGTGAAAAATGTGCATTGGACTCTCTCTTTGGGTGTGTATCTTTCTTTCTTTCTTTCTAATGTTAGAAGAAAGTATGCTCTGTGTTCTATGCTTCCTGTTTCATAAGTAAAAATAGTTTACTTTTTTGTTTGGGCTTAAGGGTGGGTGTGGGGGCATTGGAGTGGAGCATTTATTTAGCAATTTGTTATTGAGTCTTCATTTTTTTTTTAAGAATGATATCCTTGTGGCAGTGGGAAATTGTCATGGGAGCAGGTTCTTAGGTATACAAGCTTACGCAAGAGATATATTTCGCTGTATGCCACTCTGCTTAAATCTGACAGCAGTCGGGCAGTAGTGGATGACAATGAAGAAATTGAGGAACTTGATCGTGGACTTGATATTGAACTCATATTGCAATGGAGGTATTATTTTTTGTTATAAATTTACATTTTATTTTAATAATTTGATTGTTGCTTCTAAAGGAACTAGATTTTAAGATTTCCCTTTTAATTGCTCTGGGAAGGCTAGATGTCCTGATTTTTTGTCTGAATTTTATCTTTCAAGACCTCATTTCCATGTTGGAAGAACAAGAAGTATATAGAGAGCATTGTGTGATCTAAGTATGCATATACAAACATTTTCAGGACGGTTACCTTTTTTCTGGCTTTTGTGCATACTTGCATTCCGTTGTGCACATGTGCACATTTGCAATGCATATATACTTGCAGCTTACCTATTATGTTTTGACACACTTAAATACTGATAATCTTTGGCTTCCAAGTTACTAGATCTTTTGACTAAGCAAAAACGCGAAAAGGATAAAAGAAAAGTTACCACGTAGCTTTCTTGAAAATGAACATCAAGTTTATTAATAATTTTGAGAGAAAAACAATTGAATGACCCTTAGGCTAGCAAAAACCCTTATTTATACAAACACTTATGACTCAATAACAGTGGAAAACTAATTTTAATAGGAAAGACTTTCCTACTAATGATTAGATTCCTTTTATACAAGGAAAGTAAAATAGGAAAATTTAGAAAACCTAGTAAAATAAGGGACATTAAATAAGAAAACAAATTAAAATAGGAATCCTAGGTTTATTAAGGAAGTTGTCCTACATTAGACCCGTCCACTTGAAAAGAACTTGTCCTCGAGTTTGGGTTTTCGGTGGATAATACTTGCGATAAACCATTATATCCTCCTCCAAAGTAGCGAACACATAACCCTTATCATCAATCTTCCTTGAAACTTGAAGATATCCATTCTTCCTTTTCTTTCTTCCACCATTGGCTAAAAACATTGCCTTGTAAAGATGAGCCAAGATTGTAAATACTCCAACATCTTTGCTTTGGGTAGTTGGTTCTTGCTCCATTCCAATTTCAACATATTCAACCTCTTCAACAAAAATTTCTTCTTGAAGAATTTGCTTTGCTTCAACTCCTAATTGTATCTTCTCGTTCAAATATTCAAGTTCAACATGTTGTTTGCCTTCAATTTGTTCTTCTTCAAGAATCATTTCCACTTTATTATGATTTTGTGGAACTATTTTAACCACTTGTTCTTCAATGCTCAAATCATGAACCATTTCAAGATTTGCTTAAAGGACGATTCAAAAAACTTTTCTCCTTCTATTGGTGTATCATGCACTTCTTGATTAGATTCTAATTTATAAGTCATAGGTCTGAGATTCTTTAAGTATTCTTGATTTGAGGTTGGTTTAGAAATATAACAAGGTGGTTGTGGTTGTGATTCTTTTATGACTGGCTTGTAGTTAGGGTTATATGGGAGATAGGATGGCTGATAGAACATCTGATATTCTATTGGTAAGAATTTTTCTATTAATAATTTCTTTAGTTTAGACCATGTTCTTATCGGCTCTTTTCCCCATCTACTTGTATTATAATTTACATGATTTCACCAATCATACGCATAGCCTTCTAATAAAAAGACAACATGTTTAACTTGCTTTTCTTATGGAATATTCACCAAATATTCTTCCACTTCTTCTAACCAATTAAGAAAATCTTTCGCATGCAAGTTATCATTGAAATAAAGAAGATCTATATTTACCTTATAACTGTTTGAACTTCGTTTGAAACCTTGTTTATAAAAGGTATTTGTAGGAGCCCTTTGATTGAAATCAAGAACATATCTTGTTGATGTTGGACAATGAGTTAGGGTCTGATCTGCCCTTCTACATTTTCGATCTAAATTCTTGTTGCCGCTAGTCTCTAGTGCATCCAACCTGTGAAGTATTAGTTGTAGTAGATCCTGAACGACATCCTTAACAACTTGTTTTGTTATGGCCCCCATCCTCTACTAATCGTCAAGAGGATGGTTGCTATTCCGATCGTTATATGAAATCGGCTTGGCAGGATGGAAACGCCATTAGGATAAAAGAAAAGCTGTCATGTAGCTTTCTTGAAAATAAACATCAAGTTTATTAATAATTTTGAGAAAAAACAATTGAATGACTCTTAGGCTAGTAAAAACCCTTTTTTATCCTAATTCCTATGACTCAATAACACTAGGAAAACTAATTTTATTAGGAAAGACTTTCCTACTAATTATTAGATTCCTTTTATATAAGGAAAGTAAAATAGGAAAACTAAGAAAACCTAATAAAATAAGCAATAATGCTAGATGTACAAACAAATCTTACAAAGATTTGTGTACAAATTGATGTGACATAAAATGAATGGAAGAGACATCTAGCATTGCTCATAAAATGAGGGACACTAAGTAAGAAAACAAATTGAAATAGGAATCTTAGGTTTATTAGGAAAGTTGTCCTACATCCTCTTTCTTCTTAAGTATAAATTTCGTTTAACTTTTGTTGTGCAGGATGTTGGCTCACAAGTTTGTTGAGCAGTCAATGGGATCAGACAATCACTTGAAGAAACAAAAAACTAAAAAATCTTGGTGGTCATTTGGATGGTGAACAATTTTACCTTGAGAATAATTCTCTTGATTCATCTCTCAATTATATGTATTTGCTAATGCTATGGAGTTTTACATGATTTTGATTTATTTCCAGGAATAACCAATCCCCTGAAGATGAAAGTGAACCATTTCATTTCAGCGAGGAAGACTGGGCCCAGTTAAACAAAATCATAGGATATAAGGAGGTTGATGATGGACATTCATTGATAATTAATGAGAAGTTGGATACTCTGCATACTTCCCTAGAGATTCATATGAAACATAATGCTTCAAAGCTTTTGGATGGTGTTTTGGACTGTCTAGCTGAGTTATCATGTAAAGACCTGGACTGCTCCGTTAAACTTTATCCTGAGACACAAGTTTTTGACATGAAATTGGGGTCATATCAGCTGTCATCGCCAAATGGTCTTCTTGCTGAGGTCTGATTCAATATTTACTTTAAAGATTTTCATTCTCAATACATTTGTATACAACTCCAGTGGCATCCTAAAATTTTTCTGTAATCCATGTAGAGTGCGACAACTGCTGATTCTTTAGTTGGACTCTTCTGCTACAAGCCTTTTGATTCAAAAGTGGATTGGAGCTTGGCTGTTAAAGCTTCTCCATGTTATGTGACTGTATGCTTCTACCCTCTGATACTCTTGTGTTGGAGCTAGTATTAGAGAATCATGATTTTATACCTATGGTTATTAACTGATAATATGTCCTTTGGTCAGTATTTGAAGGATTCCATTGATGAAATGATCAAATTTTTTGAGAGCAATACTGCAGTTAGTCAAACCATAGCATTGGAAACTGCAGCTGCTGTGCAGGTTTTATTCTACTTGTGCCTATTCTTTGAGTTATGTTTGAATATTGGCATCAGGTGCTATCCATATTACCAAAATTGAGCATACATGTACTTGTAATCCTTTCATTTGAGATGATAGCTTGGATTCTAGATTCATTTGGGAATACACATGAATATAATTGTAATTGCAAAGTTGGGTAGTAAATGTTGGAAAAATGTTTAACAAAGAGTTTGAACCTTCAATCAAATGATTAAATCTTTAGAAAAAAAAAAAAGAAACGTATCTTTTCTTATTGCGAAAATTTACAATGTATAATTGGAGTTCCAATTATTTTAAGAAACTTGAATCATTCTAGAGTTATATAATCATATACAACTTCTATTCTCTTTACCATAATTTTCATTCTGTAAAAAGAATTTCTTAATTCAAGTTGTGAGATATGTATACTGCATTTGTAGCCTATTCCCCTGCACTGGAACAAATAAAAACAACTAGTTTGCAGTTGCAGGATATGTAACAATTAGTGCAATTTTGTTGAATCATAGAAAAAAAAAAAAAGTTTTTGAGGTCATCTCTTACTTTTGTTCATCATGTCTCACTTAAAGATCTTGGGTTCTCTATTTAGCAAGCATGGGTATCATTGGTCTATTTATTGAATGGTTTGCTGATGTTCTCTTTATTTGTATTTTAGATGACAATTGATGGAGTCAAGCGCACAGCTCAACAACAGGTGAACCGGGCTTTGAAGGATCATGCCAGGTTTCTTATTTTAATTTTGATTTTCTACTGGCGAAACTTATCAATTTGAGTTATGAAATTCAGTTGGTGTTCTGGATATGCGAGGTACTTACAGGTTTAGCAGTGGAATATGATGTCCTACTTCGTTGTGGTTTTGGATAATTTTGTTTGGTATTGTTAGTGGTTGAATACAATTGAGAAAAGTTGGTTTCCTTTTGCATTATTAATTCAGATTTATAGTACAATTTTTTAGGTTTATAGAGCCTTTCTAGAATCTACAATTAGATTCTATCAAGCTAATTGGGTATAAAAACAGAAAGTCAATACTTGTCTATTTACAAAATTACTTCCCTAGAAATTAGCTAAAGTAAATATAGGAGAAATGAAAAATCTAAGAAGGAAATAAATCATGCTAGCTACTCCAACTTCTCTATAATCCCTCTCAAGTTGGTTCAAAGATGTCTACAATTCTCAACTTGCCAATTTTGATTGAAATTGTTGTCTTTAAAGTCATTCAGTAAGTAGATTAGCTAATTGATTCTTTGACGAGACAAGCAATGTGCAAATAAGACCACTTTCTAACTTCTCCCGAATGAAAGGTTTGTCAATTTATACATGTTTTGCCCAATCGTGTTGTATGAGATTGGGTTGTGAGCAATATTAATGGTAGCTTTATTGACAAAATAGAGTTTTATAGGGCTATAATCTCTTACTTTAAGCTCCTTAAGTTGTGATCTTAGTGATATCAATCCAGAAATTCTTTTTGCTGTAGATCTGAAATTTGTCTTTACACTTGATCTAGCAACCGCATGTAGCTTTTTACTTCTCCATGTTATGAGATTGACACCAACAAACATACAATACCTTAGGGTACATCTTATAACAATTATTGAAACCGCCTGGTTCACATTGGTGCTTCTAAGTGGTTGTTCATAACAAACCTTCTCCAAGAGTCCTTTCAAAGTACCTTAAGATTATTTCAACTTTAAATTTTCTCATAAATACCCATTTACACCTGATTGCTTTATTTATTTATTTTTATTTTTTTTATATGATAGGAAACAAAAAGACATGTATTGATGATAAAAAATAGTTATAGAAATGGACTAGATGTCCACAATAAGACTCTAAAGAAGACACAAACTGTACAATATAGTTGTGAATCAATCTATACAAAAGCCTTAGGGAGAATTTAAATTATTTAATTGGTAACCTCATCTCAATTGAGTTAAATGAAGNGAATGAAAGGTTTGTCAATTTATACATGTTTTGCCCAATCGTGTTGTATGAGATTGGGTTGTGAGCAATATTAATGGTAGCTTTATTGACAAAATAGAGTTTTATAGGGCTATAATCTCTTACTTTAAGCTCCTTAAGTTGTGATCTTAGTGATATCAATCCAGAAATTCTTTTTGCTGTAGATCTGAAATTTGTCTTTACACTTGATCTAGCAACCGCATGTAGCTTTTTACTTCTCCATGTTATGAGATTGACACCAACAAACATACAATACCTTAGGGTACATCTTATAACAATTATTGAAACCGCCTGGTTCACATTGGTGCTCCTAAGTGGTTGTTCATAACAAACCTTCTCCAAGAGTCCTTCTTAAGTACCTTAAGATTATTTCAACTTTAAATTTTCTCATAAATACCCATTTACACCTGATTGCTTTATTTATTTTTTTTAATTTTTTTTATATTATAGGAAACAAAAAGACATGTATTGATGATAAAAAATAGTTATAGCAATGGACTAGATGTCCACAATAAGACTCTAAAGAAGACAAAAACTGTACAATATAGTTGTGAATCAATCTATACAAAAGCCTTAGGGAGAATTCAAATTATTTAATTGGTAACCTCATCTCAATTGAGTTAAATGAAGAAAAGTGAAGAATATTGAAACTCCTTAGAGACCATGGCCTAAAGAGATGCTAAAAATTTTATCCTTTCCCATATATAGCCAACTACTTCACCTAATTTTTCTTCAAATACGTGAGCATTCATCCTTTCAAAATTACCTAGAGGATTTGAAAAACAACACAACTCTATAGGGATGTGGCATTCTTTCCTTTCGGAAAGGCCAAAACCTTCCCCATGAGCAAATCACTTTAGTTTTTAGGGATGACCAGCTAATTTTGGTTTCCCTGCATTAATTAGTTCATAAACTTGTTGATACTTGACTATGCAAAGATAAATGGTAAGATTTTTTGGGAGCTTTTTTTTTACACAAAACACACCAAGATGGAGATGAGTGCAAGTTAGACAACTTTCTTTACACAATATTGGCTATATCTATTCTACCATGAGCCAGAGTCCAAGCAAAAACTTGAATTTTAGGTGGAGTTTTAGCCTTCCAAATCGAAATGAATTGCTTGAAAGTTTCATGATTACTTTCTCCACTTAAAATTCTAGCATAAGATTTAGGTGAGGAATTCCTAAAACTCTCAAGCTTCTATATTCTTGTTTCTTTTGTTTCATCAATGACAACTTGACCAAGAATTTGCTTCATTTCAGGTAGTCTTCTAAATTTTTTGTCAAAGTTGAAACACCAATTCCAGTGGAGATTAATGGAAGACGTATAGGTTTAGGAGTACCCACACTAGAAAGATTAGCAGTAAAGGACTTTGGAGGATGAATTAAATTGATAGGAAACAAATTAGAGATAAGTTGTTGACTACAAGAAGTACCACCTAAACCAAACTTGTCGAAAGGCTATTGGCACATAAATTGGCACATAAAGATCAGATGTAGGTTTTTGGATAGGAGAATTAATTAACTTGAATTTGTTAGTTTTAGTACATTCGGACAAAACGATTGGTCTTGAGGGAGATGTTTGACCATTCTATTTCTTCCGGAATGTAATAATAGCTATCTCTTTTCTTTATGATTCTTGTCCTCACAACTTTCTTTTCTTATATTTTCTTTAGCTGGCTCATCCTCACAAGTTTGGTTTTGTGTAGACATTGGTAAAGATAATGTTGGTGTACTCTCCCCCATATAGTTTTGGACCTTATTTTCTAATCGGTTTTGAGTAGACATAGGTATAGAAAATATAGGCACTGGAATCAGTAACAATGATCTAAGTTGATCTCTAACCTTAATCCCCCCCCGCGCGCGCGCGCGTATAGAAGCTAGTTTATTTTCAAAGTGGGTGATATCCATTGTTACAAACAATTTATGTGTAGCTATATGGAAATGCTTCTACCCTTTCTGTATGGGAGAGTACCCTAGGAAAGGTGATTTGATACATTTTAGATTTAATTTGCTTTTATTTTGGTTATAGTCATGGACAAAGGCAATGTATCTAAAAACTTTTGGTGGAAGAGAAACAAATAGAGATTTAGATGTGGGATACCATTCTTTTAGGCAATTTATAGGTGTTTCAAAATTTATAACCCAAGTTGGCATCCTATTGATTAAATAGGATGTTGTCAAAACAAACCTCTCCCCGATAATTTTTTGTTACCTATGATAATTGGGCCTAGCTAGAGGCCTAAAACTAACTCTCAATAGCTAGCTCAAAGGAAGAAGGTGCCCAACCATAACAACCCTCGAACAACTTCGCAATGTGGGGCAAATTCAACTTCAAACAAAGAAATAAATCGTGCTAACTGGTCCAGCTTTTCTACAAATACTATTTGGGCTTTAATGTATAAGCTTAAGTTTGTGGTCAAGTGGTTACTTAACATGGTATCAAAACCAGTTTAACAAAGTGGTCTTATATTTGAAACCTTTGATTGTGTTAATTGAATAATAGGTTGTTTTTGTGCTTTTGATTGTATTTAATGGTTGTCATTGTGTTTGGTCCATGAGTAAATTGCATGTGAGGGGGTGTTGAAACTTAAATACTACTAGTGGGTCCTAATCTATCAACTTAAGCTTTTAAGTCAAGTGGTAACTTATCAAATATTATGACAAATGGTTTTCTCAAATTCTGAGCTTAATTTCCATTTGCGAATAGCTTTATATAGATTCTTTCATAATGTTTATAATTTGAAATGGTGAAGACCATATAGAATACAAGTTTTCTGTTGATTCAATAGGGTAACAAGTGGACATTGTATAATTAAAATGTGTCTTTCTCCTTCGCCACGTGTCCAATATAAAGTGCTTGTCCATGCTGATTGTATGCAAATGATGAAGAAGATATCATGTGAATGAGCAAGGCTGGTAAATCTGTTATTACCATTAGGTGGTACCTTTGATCAAAATATACCTGGTTGTAGGTTTATGCTGAACTTGGACATTGCTGCTCCCAAGATTACAATTCCAACTGAATTTCGTCCAGATGACTCTCACTCATCAAAACTTATGCTTGACTTGGGAAACTTGGTAATCTGTTCACAGGTTAGTGCACAAACTTGATCTTGACTTTCTTCAAAATACGTATCTGAATTTCATGTAGGGAATGTCTGATGTTTCTAGGATGACTGTGAACGCAAATCTTCTAAGGAGCTGGATACGTATTTGCAATTTGATTTGGTTCTGAGTGATGTATCTGCTTTTCTGGTTGACGGTGACTGTCACTGGGATTGTAGCCAACCTTCTGCTTCTAACCTGAGGAGTGGTGCTAGTTTTTTACCTGTTATTGATAAGTGTGGGGTCATCTTAAAGCTTCAACAGGTAGAACCTTGGTCATTTAACCATTTATTTGTCATGTAGGTATATGTGGGTAAGTCTCTCTCGTTACATGACTAGTTAATCTTATTCATAAAATATGCAGATTAGGTTGGAGAACCCATCCTACCCTTCCACACGACTTGCTTTACGGCTGCCATCATTACAGATTCACTTTTCCCCAGCTAGGTATCATCGATTGATGCAAATAGTGAAAATATTCCAGGAAGAGGATAGTGAGAAGTTGGATCTTGTTCGCCCTTGGGAGCATGCTGATTTTGAAGGGTGGTTGTCTCTACTTACTTGGAAGGTTGCTTTCTCTCACCCTTCTATCTCACTTTTTCTTTGTGTTTGTGTGTTATTCAACATTGTGGCAATTTTCTAATATTCTAACTCATCAATTTTTCCTCTTTTTTTTTTTTTTTTTAATTTTTAATTTTAATATGATAGGGTGTGGGAAATAGGGAAGCTGTTTGGCAGCGGCGATACTTTTGCTTAGTTGGACCTTTTCTTTATGTACTAGAGAGCCCTGGTGCTAAATCTTATAAGCAATATCTCAGGTTCATACATCAACCTTTCCTAATTGAGTTATTATTTGTTGTGTCTCAATACAAAGTAATTCAGTAAATTGAACGAATGAAAATGCATTGTTAGAGCATCTCTAATGGTGCTCTTTATTTTGAAGAGTATCTTTCACAAAAATAAAGAGCATCTTCATTAATTTTAAAATATAAAGAACACAATTCTTATTCAAATCCAATAGACTCTTTAAATTTAATGAAGGTGCTCTTTATTTTTAAGAAAGAGACTTAATGGGAGAGAGAATTAATAAATAAAATGCATAAGAACTTGTAGTTTATTATTTAAAATTATGATAGAGAGTGAAATTTGACTCTCTAAATATGGAGAGCCAAGCCTACTCTCTAATTTATATTTTAAAAATAAAGAGTCTGTTGGATTCTTGTTTTTATGGATAAACTCTTTATAATAAAAAGTCCAGGTCATATAAAGAGTCATTTGGAGATGCTCTTAGTGGAATATAAATGTTGTTTTTAGAACATTAAATTGTATTGTTACAAACAGAGAACTGATCGTAATAATTTTCATATTGTATTGATAAATTATACATTAATATATAGGAAAATAAAGAATTAATCTAAGAAACAAATAATCTACTGTGGAAAATGAATAATCTAAGTTCCTATTTTACAGATTTGTTCTTAATAAATATTGATTACAATCCTAATATCCTATTATAGATTTATACACTCCTATTTTACAGATTTGTTCTTAATAAATATTGATTACAATCCTAATATCCTATTATAGATTTATACACTTAATCATGCAATATCTGTAAGATTTTGCATGATTATTTACAGCACTCCCCCTCAAGATGGAGCATAGAACCCCATTCAAAGCTTTAGTGAAAACATCTCTTAGTTGCTCTTCAGTCTTCACATATGCTGTAAAGATTAAGCCTTGCTGTATTTTCTCACGAATGAAATGACAGTCAATTTCAATGTGCTTAGTTCGTTCATGAAATACGCGATTAGAAGCAATATGAAGAGCGGCTTGGTTATCACACCACAATTTTGCTGGCAAAGAGGCCATAAGACCAACTTCAGTAAAAAATTGATATATCCATATTACTTCACACAGAGATTGGGCCATAGCTCTATATTCTGATTTTGCACTAGATCGGGACACTACAGTTTGCTTCTTACTTTTCCATGAGACCAAATTTCCACCAATAAAAACACAATAGCTCGTAGTGGATCTCCTATCTATCTTGGAACCTGCCCAATCTGCATCAGAGAAGCACTCAATATTATTATGTCCATGATTTTCGTACAAAATACCACGTCCTGGAGCTCCTTTCAGATAACACAGAATCTGTTCTAACGCTGTCCAATGGTCAACAGTAGGAGAAGACATGAATTGACTTACTACACTGACAGAGTACGCAATATCAGGACGAGTGACCGTTAGATAGTTCAACTTTCCAACCAATCTTCTGTACCTCTCAGGATCTTCAAATAGTTCACCATCTTTGGTAAGTTGCGAATTAGGAAACATTGGCGTACTACATGGCTTAGCACTCAATTTTCCTGTCTCAGTTAATAAGTCAAGTACATATTTTCTTTGAGAGAGGAAGATGCCTTTCTTGCTCCTTGTTACCTCAACCCCTAAGAAATACTTCAACACTCCTAAATCTTTTGTATGAAACTGAGTGTGAAGAAATGACTTAAGTAATGAAATCCCTGTAGTGTCACTCCCAGTGATGATAATGTCATCAACATATACAACAAGAAGAATAATGCCAACTGCCGATTGTTTGTAAAAGACTGAGTGATCAGACTTGCTCTTTGTCATTCCGAACTTTGCAACTACCTCACTAAACTTTCCAAACCAAGCACGTGGACTCTGTTTCAAACCATACAACGATTTGCGAAGATGACAAACTTTCCCATACTCCCCCTGAGCAACAAATCCAGGTGGTTGCTCCATATAGACTTCTTCCTGAAGGTCACTATGTAAAAAGGCATTTTTTATGTTCAACTGATGTAATGGTCAAGAATGAGTAGCCGCCATAGAGATAAATAAGGGAACAGAAGTCAATTTAGCCACAGGGGAAAAAGTGTCAGAATAATCCACTCCATAAGTTTGAGCATAGCCTTTAGATACAAGACGAGCTTTAAGCCTAGCCACTGACCCATCAGGATTTACTTTAACAGCAAACACCCATTTACATCCAATAGGCTTCTTTCCAATAGGTAAGTCAACCAAGTTCCAAGTACCATTAACATCTAAAGCATTCATCTCTTTTATCATAGCATCACGCCAACTAGGATGAGATAAGGCTTCATGAACAGTTGTAGGAAGGGAGACAGAGTCTAGTGATGCCACAAAAGAATAAGAAGAAGATGATAGGTGATCATAAGAAACAAATGAAGAGATAGGATAAGTACACTATCGTTTACCTTTCCGAAGAGCAATAAGAAGATCAAGATCACTCAAGGGTGGATCCAACGACGAAGAGTCTTGGGTACGACATGAAGTCTGAGTGTCTTCTTGACAAGGAACACAGGTATCGGGATCACTGGAGACTGGGTCTAATGACAAAGGGACTGGGACAGGAGGTTCCTGTCGACGAGAATAGATAATGCGAATTGGAGGTAGTGGACGGACATGTGGTGGTGCCAGAGGAGGAACAGTAGGTGGGGAAGCCTTAGTTGTGGGAGTAGCCGGTAGGGATGTGGCAGTATAGATTAGCAAGTCATCGTCCTCCCCCTGACGTGTATAGGTAGACAAAGTAGGAAAAAAAAGGGGTGTTTTCTAAGAAAGTAACATCAGGTGACACCAGATATCTATTAAGACTAGGACAATAACATCGATATCCCTTCTGAAGGCGAGAGTAACCTAGAAAAACACATTTAAGAGATTTGGGATCTAACTTGGTTGCCTGGGGTCGAACATCATGAACAAAACAAGTACTATCAAATATCTTTGGGGCAATAGAAAACAATGGCTTAGACGAGAAGAGAACACTGTAAGGAGTAGAACCATTCAGAATAGAGGAAGGCATGCGGTTAATTAGAAAACAGGCCGTGGAAATTGCATCGACCCAAAACTGTTTAGGAACTTGCATTTGAAATAATAGGGTTCGAGCGGCTTCAAGAAGGTGCCTATTTTTCCTCTCAGCTACTTCATTTTGGGACGGTGTTACAACACAAGAGGATTGATGAAGAATGCTATGCTGACTCATAGGGGTGTTCGGTTTCGGGTACCCTGCACTTTTTGCAGGAACCGGAACCGATGGTTCCTTGAAATTTGGAACCGGAACCGGAATCGGAACCGTCGGTTCCGGTTCCTAGGTACCCAGAACTAGAACCTGTAACAACGGTTTCGGTTCCGGTTCTGGTTTTGGGTACCCTGTAAAATTACAATGACCCCCCAAAAGTTCTTAAAATGGCAAAAAAAACCCTTAAAAACTTGCAAATACCCCCCCACCTGGCACTTGTTAACAAAGATAAAATTACAAATTATAAATTCAAAATTACAAACTCCATTACTTTGTAAAGGTAGATTCTCAAAAGTCAAACCAACTTACTTTAAATGTTATGAAATATAAATATAAATGTATTCACATTACTTTTTCTACAAAGGTTTTTATTAACCCCCCTAATCTTTAATTTTATTTTATATTAGTCTTGGTTCTTGGTTTCTGGTTCCGGTTCCTAACTATAGGAACCAGAACCGGAATCGGAATCGGAATCGGATAGTAATGGTTCCAAAAATTTGGAACTGGAACCTACCCATTGACTACTGGTTTTGGGTAGGAACAATTTTTGGAACCGGAACCTACCCATTGACTACTGGTTCTGGGTAGGAACTGGAACCAAACCCAGGGTTGCCGTCGGTTCCGGTTCCAACTGGTTCTTTTGAACACCCCTACTGACTCATATAAGACTGAAAAGAACTTGAAAAATATTCTTTGGCGTTATCGCTTCTTAATGTCTGGACAGAAGTATTAAATTGTGTTTTAACTTCAGCACAAAAGGCACAAAAATGAGAAAACAACTCAGAACGATTTTTCATTAAATAAAATCAAGTTACACGAGGGTTGTCATTAACAAAGGTAACAAAATATTTACATCCAGGTTTAGACATAATAGAACACGGACCTCAAACATATGAATGAACTAATTCAAAAGGGACACTAGCCTGTTTATTGACTCCTGGACTCGAAGAAAGACGGTGGTGTTTGGCAAATTGACATGATTCACAATCTAACGAAGATAATTTATTAAACTGAGGACATAGTTTCTTTAACAATGGTAAAGAAGGATGTCCTAACCGATAATGCACCTCAAAAGGGGTTGAAATACTGGAACATGTAATGGTTCTGGGCACCTGTGTGTCAAGGATGTAAAGCCTTCCAGATTCATGTCCTTTACCAATAATCTGCTTCGTCGTAAGATCCTGAAATAGGCAATGATCAAGGAAAAATGAGATGCAACATTTAAGAGCACGAGTGACTTTACTCACAGAAATTAAATTAAAAGCGAACTGTGGTAGACTCAATACGAAGGATAGGGAAATTAACGGAGTAGGGTTAATAGACCCAAACCCAAGAACACAAGAAGTTGACCTATCAGTTAAAGTAACATTAGACGGGGAATTATGTGACTGATATGATGAAAAGAGACTAGGATTACCTGTCATATGATCTGTGGCACCAAAATCAATGACCCATTTGGAGGATGAGGAAATAAGACATGTATTTGGTTTACCTGACTCGGCGAGAGTAGTGATGGAAGTAGATGAGGACTTCAATGATTCTTGATACTGAGAAAACTTGGCAAACTGATCAGCTGAAATCATAACCTTCTTCTCAGAAGTGTCAGTAGCGGCAACATGAGCTGACTGAGGTTTCTAGGCCTTATTTTGCAACTTTCTACATGTGCGCTTTGTATGACCGGGTTCATGACAATAGTAGCACACAATCCCTCCTGACTCTTGACTTCGATTCTCACGATAATTCGAACCCTCTCCTCTATTATTGCTCCTGTTAAATGAACGTCCGGTGTCATGATTCTGACTTACAAGAGCACTACTTGATTGAACAGATGGAGTGCTTTCTGTACGAAGAACCTTAGTAAATATGTCTTGGAGGGAGGTGATTTTAGAACTAGCAAGAACCTGAGATTTAGCAGATTCAAACTCAGAAGGGAGTCCAGCTAGGAAACTCATAGTCGCCATTTTCTCTCGTTGAGCTTGTTGAACTTTCACATCAGCACTCACCGGTAGAAGAATGTTAAGTTCTTCATATATCCTTTTAAAATCCATAAAATAAGAAGTAAGAGACCTATCTTGTTTCTCAGCTCGATAAAAAGCTTTGCATACATAAAAAATACGAGAAACATTCCCTTTCCTAGAATACAAAAAATCTAGATAGTCCATTAATTCCTTCACATATTCACAATGATTAATTAAACTAAGTACCTCATTGTTGATGGAGTTCCGTATCTGCAAGAACAACCGGGCATTCTCTCTCAACCATGTTTGCTTTGAATCGTCTTCAGACGAATCTTTAGTGAGATGATCATCTTTACCAATGTTTCGCAGATAAAGACGAATTGTCTTACTCCAATCAAAATAGTTATTAGACCCATTAAGCTTATGTTCCGTAATTTTTGACATTATAAGAACTATATCAATTATAGATTTATCAGTCATGGTAAGAAGACGAAAATAGCCAACAAAAACTCTTCAAAGATCGAACTCTATACCAATAGAAACCAACAAAACTGATACCAACAGAAACCAACAAAATTGTTTGACCTGGCTGAGATACTAAAGAACTAATCACACAGAATTACCAGAAATAACAAGACGAAGTTGAGAAGGGTGATCGGAGCGCTTTCCTCCGTCACACGCGCCGACGCGTAGATACTGACGTAGATGAAAAAATTAGCGCGTGAGACTCATGCGCTACTCCTCCGGTGACCGGAATTCAGGGAATGGTCGATTAGCAGAAGAGGCTTCTTCCTAGGCAGGTGGTGAGAAAAAATGGCCATTCTCCAGGGTGACTCACAAATAATGCTTACTTGGGCAGAAAAGAAAAAAAAAAAAAAAACAACCTAGAATTGCTCTGATACCATGTTACAAACAGAGAACTGATTGTAATAATTTTCATATTGTATTGACAAATTATACATCAATATATAGGAAAATAAAGAACTAATCTAGGAAATAAATAATCTAATCTAGGAAATAAATAATCTAACTTCTTATTTTACAGATTTGTTCCTAATATGTATTGATTACAATCCTAATATTCTATTATAGATTTATACACTTAATCATGCAATATCTGTAAGATTTTGCATGATTATCTACAACATGTATTATTTTTAATATTGTTGGTAAAGTTTTTTTTTTTAATTTTTAATTTTTTCTATTTCTGGTTTTAGATATTATATTTTATTTTCCATGCTCACTTGTTGATTGTCTTGAGTAGCTTCTTGAGTAATATGTGTTTGGTTGTTTATATAATTTATTTTTGTGTTAAAAAACTCATCTTTTAAACAAAGAGCACGAAATTTAAACAGACAATACTGGCTCTGAAAATAATAATAATTTAAAAAAAAAAAAACTTGCAAGGAGATGAAAGCAAGAAAGTTTATGTGGTGAGAATAGGATGTTAAGGATTTAACGTGCTAAATTGTTAGACATTGATATTCCTAAGAAAAAAAAAACTGTATTAGTTCCCCATGCTCATTTTTTTATTGTCTCGACTATCTTCTCCAGTAATAAGTGTTTGGTTGTTTGTAGAATTTCTTATTGTGTTTAGAAACTTATCTTTGAAACAAAGAATGCTAATTGTAAACTGGTAATACTGGCACTGAAATGAAATAAAAAACTTTGGTTGGATGAAAACAAGTAAGTTTATGAAGTGAGAATAGGAGTTCAAGGATATTTATGTGCTTAAATGTTAGATTTTGATGTTGTCTAAAAAAAAGTCTTATATATGTGTATATGTGTGTGTGTGTGTATTATAAAATTGGAATTCCTCCGTCTGAATAAACAGTATTACTTGTTAACCTGCTGCATAATGTTTTTATTCATATTTGATGTCATTAATTATATGTACTTGCTTTCTCTGTAGCTTACGAGGGAAACACATATATCAGGTTCCCGCAGGGTTGGTTGGTGATGTGGATTATGTATTAGCTGTTTGTGATCCTGCACGATCCAATAACAAGGTTTAGTTATCCAGTGTTTCTCTGATATGAAGATTCGAGGATCAAGTTAGATGCCATTTAAATTTGAGGAGCTATGCTGAATAACATGTTATGGTTATTGTTTGTCATTAGGTTGTGGAAGATGTAAATGCTCTAATACTGCGGTGCGATTCTAATGATTCAAGAAAAACTTGGAAAAATCGACTGCAAGGGGCTATATATAGTGCTTCGGTACATTCTTCTTGGAGCTTAATTTGTCTTTACATTTATTTTGATTTTGAACAATTCCCATTGCTGTAGTTTTCTGTAGTATGTCAATATTCTCAACTCAAGGCTATTTGATGGGTAAAACATGAGATGTGTCTTCTCATATGGACTTGCTCTGTTCTAGGTTTAAAAGGGTTAATATTACTTTTTGTTTAATGTTAAGTGATTGCTTTTTATTTTTCTTCTTCTCCCTTCATTCTTAGTTTTGGCTCCTCTTTGTTGTGTTTTTTATTTTTTATCTTTTAAATGTGGGAAGTCTTTAGGAGGTTTCCTATATTTTCATTTTTTTCTTTATGGAATATATTGCAGTTAGACTATGTTTTCTGATGGAGGTTTTTTATTCCAATTTGGGATTATTAAATCATATAATGTTCTTTTATAATATTCCTCTTAAGGTGAAGAAGCATTCTCTGCATATGTGACCTGGTCATGTGGTTTGCTTTTAATTGCAAACTGGAACTGATAAATATTGTTTGGTTCTCAATATCTGTACCTTTAATCAGCATCTATGTAAAAAAGGATCGATAAAAGCCAGATTTGCAGAAATATGTCTAACGTAATGTAGAGCTTTGAACCGTTACTTTTTTGGTTGCTGATTTCCAAGTGAGCCTACGAACTTCTTGTCTAGTGCCTTCTGTAAGGATTTGATAAGTAATTTTGAAGGGTGAAGCACTTTAGAAGTGGTTCACGTTTGATGATAGACAGTTAATTTTTAAAATTAATTGAATGCTTTTACAAGATAGTCTCCTATCTTGTTGTTCCCCAATTTTTGATAAACTCATATTCAAGATAGAAGAATATACAAGTAACCAAGTTGCTACAAAAGCTGGCAAAAATATGCTGCAGCATATTGGAAAACAAGAGAAGAAAAATATAAAGAAACAGGTCCAGAGCAGTTCATCTTTAGAATTTGCTTTTTCTTTTTCACCTTATAGTGAGAAATCTCTGTACCTTTCCTATCTATTCAGAGAGTTATAAACTGGAGGTTGCTTTCGAACCCTACAACCTTGGTATTTAGGGAACCTGTATGATACATTATCCGAAGTGGTCTGAGGGTGGTTGAACCCTTGACTTCTTGGTTGAAACCAAAGGCCTTAACCAGCAAGCCCAAACCTTGGGTTCACTTTAAAGACTCTGCTAATATATTAAATCTTTTGAAGGTGTAAAGATAATGGATATATGAATAGACTGCTTTGCTTTGTGTAAGAATGGTGACCAGAAGTTCTGCATTATGTGCTTTTACCTATAGTTTCTGCAACCTGCATTAAATATTTTACTTCTTGGCTGACAAATGGCTCTATGACTCTGTGTTTTGAACTGAGATAGTGTAATACAAGGAATATTGATGTGAAGGTTACCGTTTATCTAATTGAAGATCTTTACTTCTATCAATTAATTGTTCTAATAGTATAGAATTAGAGCATAAATTCTCATACTTATTTTCTGTGCAGGGTGCTGCTCCTATCACTAGTCTGTCTGAAACTTCATCAGATTCTGAGAACTCAGAGACAGAACTGAGTGACAACCATGATGCAATTGGGATCTCAAAGATAGAGAAGGTGTTTATTACTGGTGCTCTTGATGAACTAAAGATCTGCTTCAATTATAGCCATCAGGTAGCCTGGTATATATTTTTATGTCCTAGAGTTACCTCTCAGTAAAACTTGCTTAGAAATCTGAAGAGTGTGTTACTTTTCACTAGCATGATCATAGTTTCGTGAAGGTTCTTCTTGCTGAAGAGACTCGACTATTTGAATTTCGAGCGATAGGTGGTCAGGTAAAGATTGGTAATCGATTATGTTTATGTGAATGGATATTTTTATGTTTCTCTCTTTAACATATTTACTTCCATGAAAACAGGTTCAACTTTCAATAAGAGGAAATGACATGTTTGTTGGTACTGTTTTGAAATCTTTGGAGATTGAAGATTTAGTTTGCTTTAGTGGAGCATCTCAGCCCTTTTACCTGGCAAGATCATTCATTGGGAGCTCAGATGCACATGTATCCTTTGATGACACAAAGTTTCAGAATTTTGACAATAGTAATCCTACTCCAAGTGAAGGAGATGATAAATTCTATGAGGCACCTGAAAATTTGCTTGATTCTGCAGATCTCACATTGCCATCACCACAAAACTTATCCAAATACCCAAGTTTCCAAAATTTGCCACCATCTGAAAGCTTATCATTTAAGACACCTAGTTTTAGACGTATTGCTGGTTTACTCCCCGATGATGCCCTTCAAAATAGGATGGAAGACACTGAACAAACAGAAACATTGGATACTTTTGTGAAAGCTCAAATTGTTATCTATGACCATAATTCTCCTCTATACGATAATATTGATAAAAGGGTGGGTATTATCCTGTTTTTGGAATTCCGCTTTCATTTATCTTCTTATATGACAAGTGATTTCATAAATTGTTTCAGGTGACAGTGAGTCTAGCTACCTTATCATTCTTCTGTCGTAGACCTACAATTCTTGCAATTATGGAATTTGTTAATGCTATCAATATTAAAGATGAAAGCTGCGAATCTTTCAGTGATAATTCTTTGACAGCTGTTGATAATTCTTCTAAAGAAGATGTTGTTGTGGATCAACAGTTGATGGCTATTGAGGAGCCTGTTGTTAAAAGTCTGCTTGGAAGGGGGAAATCCAGGGTTATTTTTAATTTAACATTAAATATGGCCCGTGCTCAAATTGTTCTGATGAATGAAAATGAAACTAAGCTTGCTACTTTGTCACAGGATAATCTGCTTACTGATATTAAGGTCTTTTTCCCCTTTATCTCTTCTATACTTGTTCTCATTAAAGTCAGTTTTCCTGTTTCAAAAACATGATGTCTATTTTCTTCGTGCTTATCAACTTCCTTTTATTTGTAAGGTGTTCCCATCCTCTTTCAGTATAAAGGCTTCCCTGGGAAATCTGAAAATAAGTGATGACAGTCTTCCTGACAGCCATATGTATTTCTGGATATGTGATATGAGAAATCCAGGAGGCAGTTCATTTGTTGAGGTACTTCATGTGGCTGCAGTTTTTTGTTTCCAATTTTGAATGTGCTACCACTATCTGCTGGTCACTTTTTTATAATGAGTAGTGTTTAAGCAGCCTTGAATCTTGTGAGGCTTTGTATTCATAATAAATTTTTTGTTATTTTTATTTATCTATTTATTTATTTTTTGTGCAATCATGTTTGTTTTTATGAACATTTCTTATGATTATTTTTGCAGTTGGTTTTTACTTCATTTAGTATTGATGATGAAGACTATAAAGGTTACGAGTATTGCCTTTTTGGGCAGCTTTCAGAAGTACGCGTTGTTTATTTGAATCGCTTTGTCCAGGAGGTAACCAAACCTTAAATACTTAATCATCAATCAGAATTTGTTTTGTTTCTCATATGTCTGAACTCTGATATGCAGGTTGTTAGTTACTTTATGGGTCTTGTTCCCAACAGTTCAAAGGGTGTTGTCAAATTAAAGGATCAGTTCACAAATTCAGAGAAATGGTTTACAACTAGTGAAATTGAAGGATCACCTGCTATGAAGTTGGATCTATCACTTAGAAAGCCAATAATTTTAATGCCTCGGAGAACAGACAGCCTTGAGTATGCTTATTGCACATAATTTCATTTCATAATTAGTCCCTTAATCACCTGAGATATTTAATCTACTTGTTTGACTTTTGCTTTGACAGTTACTTGAAGCTTGATGTGGTTCATATAACAGTTCAAAACACCTTTCAGTGGTTGTCTGGCAGTAAAAGTGACCTGAATGCTGTTCATTTGGAAATATTGACAATTCTGGTGAGAATCATTGCTCGGCTGCCTGCCGTATGATTAATTACTAGGCGGATTCAGAATTTGGTTATAATTGGCTTGACCCCTAGACTCATCTTTGTTTTTCATTTGGGAGAACTGGTGGAAGCTTTTCTGTACTGATAGTGTACTGATTTAGGATGCTGAGCTTGACAATGTTTACTATCAAAAAAATGGTTTGACCCGATGTTTTTCTTATGTTGTTATTAAGATAGTGAAAACATTATCTACTTGAAGTCTAAGTCTTGGGTAGAATTGGTGGGCTTTCTTATGCCCGTGAGCTTTCAACATCATTTCTGAAAACAATTTTTTTTCCCCAATAATTCATTTCTTGATTACCATTTCTGCTTTACTTCCTTTACAATTTGCTTCTTAACTTCCTCTTATGGATATAGGTTGAGGACATCAATCTAAATGTTGGTACTGGATCGGAATTAGGTGAAAGCATAATTCAAGATGTGAAAGGGGTCTCTATTGTTATTCAGAGGTCACTTAGAGATTTGTTGCATCAATTACCAAGTACTGAAGCTGTAATCAAGGTATGGCGTTGCATTTTGTTTAGAGCTTATGTCTCAAGTGAAAGGCATTTAGGTGTGTTTATTTCTCACTGGGAATTTTCAGGTAGAGGAACTGAAAGCAGCTCTGTCGAACCAGGAATACCAGATAATTACTGAATGTGCTCTGTCCAATATTTCTGAGATTCCTCATAATGTGCCCCTGTTGAAAAATAATTCTCTGGTATCTTCAGAAGATGTTATAGAATCTGTTGTACCTCAAGTTCCATCTGTTGAACCTGAAACCCCAGAGAGAGATATCTGGATTGCCATAAGAGTCTCTGTTGTCATTAATATGGTTGAATTGTGCTTACATTCTGGGGTAGCAGGAGATGCATCTTTGGCCTCTGTGCAGGTAATTTATTTACCTGTGTATGCACTTGGTTTATCCAGTCTTTCTTTGAGGAATGCAGGTGCGGTAATTCTTAATGGTTGGGTGGAGTGGTTAAGACTTTTGGTAATACAGCCAAGGGCCCCCTTAGATGCTACTTGGGACAGTAAATTCCACAAGTTTCTTGATTACTGAGATTGTAGGGTCTAATAGTTGTCTTGAGCTTTAAACTCAGTGAATTTGTTTGAGAAGTATTATGAAGTTCGATGTATGGTTTGTTACTTTGTCACTAGAAGTTCTATGCATTTGTATCTTGGGATAGTGCACGACTTCAATTCAGAGGCATATAAAAAATCTGGAACATTATTACTTTTGGCATTCTGTCTCCTAAGTTTGATATTGATATCAATGAAAATACAAATGTCAAAACATATATTCATATTGTTAGGAAAAAAGTTTTGTTATCAATTTGAGAAAAAAATGATGGAACTTGTAATTTATAAAACTAGGAAGTTCTGGATGAAACTTCAAAGAACATTGATTTATATGCTCTTCTTTTCTCTCTCATATTTACCTTGAAAAGTGATACCTGTAGTCATTCTAGTCTAATAATCTAGTCTAATAATTGTCGTGCAGGTTAGTGGTGCATGGCTTCTCTACAAGTCTAATACGTTGGGTGAAGGTTTTCTGTCAGCGACACTTAAGGGTTTCAGTGTTATAGACAATCGTGAAGGAACTGCAGAAGAATTTAGGTTGGCAATTGGAAAGCCTGAGAACATTAGTTATGGTGGTCCACACTTAGTGACTGATGATGAGAACCAGAACATGCTTGATGCAAATGTTATAAAAGGGAATGATGTTAAACCAGTTCCTACAATGCTTATTCTTGATGCTAAATTTGGACAGAGCACATCTTATGTTTCTATAAGTCTCCAGAGGCCACAACTACTGGTGGCACTTGATTTCCTGCTTGCAGTTGTTGAGTTTTTTGTCCCAACTATCGGTGGTTTGCTGTCAAATGATGAGGATAAGAGTTATGTGCATAAAGTTGATGCGCTCATTCTGGATCAGTCAATTTACAGCCAACCCTCTGCTGAACTCTCACTATCTCCTCAGAGACCTCTAATTGTTGATGATGAAAGATTCAATCATTTCATTTATGATGGAAAAGGTGGAATATTATACTTAAAAGATAGGCAGGGATTCAATCTCTCACAACCTAGTATGGAGGCTATAATACATGTTGGAAGTGGAAAAAGGTTGCAATTTAAAAATGTTGTCATCAAGGTATCAGTTTTATCGCCGAAGAACTTTTGTTCTTCATCAGTATGGATATGGAAAATAACATCTTCTCCTGGAACATTACTTATTTCAGAGGCTTTTTTTTTTTTAATTTCTTTTCTTGTGAACAGAATGGGCTATACTTGGACTCTTGTATTCTTCTAGGAGCCAACAGTAGCTATTCTGCTTTGAAAGATGATGGGGTCTTGCTGGAGGTTGGGGATGAAGATCCTCACCTGGACGATTCAAGAGAAAGTGCAAATAATATACCATCTGAAAACCCTGCAGGTGACAGGTCTATGGAGTTCATCATTGAGTTACAGGTCAAGTGTTGGCTTTTGCCTTTCCCCCTAATTTTTTAGTACTTTGTCACAGTTCCTCTCTTTTTTATTCTTTTTAATGTAAACCCGATAGCATAAGTAGTACTTTCACTAGTAAGTTTTAATCAAATACTCCACAACCAGTAGTACAATAGTGATAAAATTTAGATTATGGCTAACACAGTAGAGTACTCAAATCCCTGACAACTATAGGAATTGAAATGAGCAGTGAAGGGAGATAAGGCGGCAGTAGGCTGACCTCTTGTGCTTACAGCAGCAGGAGAGGGATCTGAAGCTGCCACAGGGTCGACTCCTCAAAACCCAATCTTCCAATACTAAGTAACCCTAGCCAAAAGGGGGTGGAGCAAAGCTCTCTAATCTTATTCTCCAAAAAACTTCTTATCTTCTAGTCCAACAGCCTCTTTTATAGTAAGACCATGGCTTCTCAAGGAAGCCACTAAAAATATTTATTTAAAACCCTTTTTAAGAGAGAAATATAGAAGAACAATGCTATACTTACAACCGAATCATATAATTAGACAAAAAAAAAAAAAAGATAGAGTAGTCATTTTATATGAATTTTGTGCAATTTTTGGCTGATTGTATGACTTAATTATAAGCAAAATATTATTGAATATAGAACTACTACCTCACAAAACAACTATTATTACTAAATGCCCCAAACTTTTATTTATTTACATATTACTACCTCCATCACTTTTCGTAATCTTTGTTATCCCTGCGTTTGATTGGTCTTCTAGGTCAAGTGGTTACCTCATAGAAATTATAAATGCTGATGTTAAATAACCTGAAATATGCAACTACAGAAATTTATGTATTTCTTACATTGTGGAAAGATTTTAATTCTTTCAACATGTTTAATGCTTTTTTAAATGGTTTCTGTGAAGAGAAACAGTGAAAATATTTCATGAAATGAGCGCTTCAAAAGGACGCTGTTTAATGAATACTTTGACTGAGTGTTTGGTTATTCCGTTGTCTTGAATTGTTGGAAATGATGATAGTCTATGCATTTTAGTGATGGCATGAGACTATTCTGGTTGCCTCGCTCTATGATTTGCATTACCAATAATGTGTTCATTCATATTCTATATAGGACAACCAAATGAAACCTGACTTTTGTAAGTGTTTCAAAAGATTTAATTTTAGGATTCGTGGACTTGAAGTAATGATTGGTTATGGCTTGTCCATTCGGGGGTGTAGTTCATTTAGTTGTGTCCTTGGCCTGTGGTTGATCAGAAGGCATTTTGTTTCTCAAAGAAATGACACAAGCCCAACCATCGGTATGAAAGAACATAAAAAGCGTTTTTGGTCATTAGTGGGCAGGGTTGGCCTAGTCCAGATGCACTTGCCCAATATTTAATAACATTCTTGAGTTTTCTTGTACAGTTCATGTGTGTCTTTGGACATGACATGGTAAAAGATGTTATAGATGTCTTAATGTATTGTGTCTTCAGTTCAATGTTTACAACTGTGTTATCTACGTTACATTAATACTAGTGTTTTTATCCAGTCCTAAAGACTTTTCACTTGTAAGCACAATTTTTTAATGTTGACAATATTTTGAGTACTTTATGGCTTATTGTATAACATTGTGATGTATTTTATTGCTGTTCCTTTCTAACTGGGATGTCTCTTTGCAGGCTATTGCTCCAGAGTTGACCTTTTATAATACATCCAAAGATGTTAAGGAATCACCGGCACTCTCCAACAAACTTTTACATGCACAGTTGGATGCTTTTAGCAGGTTAATTTTTCTTTAATTGCAATTGATTCCATCATCTTGATGTGAACTGTTGGATGATGATCTGTATTACTCAAGTTTCAATGCAGTTTCATGGGTGCTAGATATGCTGCTATTCTTTTACTATTGTATGTTTTTGATCCCCCTCTTCATGGCAGATTTTTTCATTTCAGTATACATCTGGTTGTCTCTTGTTCCTCTTTCTTCTTTATCATTTGTATACATCTTTTAAGTTTCTGAGCAAAAAGATATACAAATTTTCTCTGATGTAGAATGCAGCTTTGCTTTTTTTGGGGAAAAGGAATGGTGGTGCTGAATTAAGAGCTTTATGACGTGTTGGATTTTTAAATATTTGTTAGTTTGATTAGCTTGATTTTATCCTTCTGTTGGTATAGTATGTGTTCTATTGGGTGGAATACTGGTTCACACTTATAGTTTTGTGTTTTGAAGTATATGCGAGTTGATTTTCTATCTTTGTTTTTTTACTTGTGGAGTTTGATATATGAAATGAAGTAACTGGAAAATGACATTTGATGTGCTTATGCTGCTACCAGACTTGTTATGAGAGGTGATACCCTTGAAATGACTGCAAATGTGCTTGGTTTATTGATGGAGAGTAATGGAATCAGAATTTTGGAGCCTTTTGACACCTCCATAAAGTATTCAAATGCATCTGGGAAGACCAATATACACATATCTGTTTCAGATATATTCATGAATTTTTCATTCAGCATTTTGAGACTGTTTTTGGCAGTTGAGGAGGATATTTTGGCCTTTCTAAGGATGACATCCAAGAAAATGACAGTTGTCTGTTCGGAGTTTGACAAAGTTGGGACTATTAGAAGTACGCTATTTACTTGGTTTCTTATCTCTTTTTGTGTCGATCCTGGAATATATGAACCTAATAGAAATTTCTATTGTTCACTTAATATTCTGTTGCACTTTGCAGATTCTTCCAGTGACCAAGTATATGCCTTTTGGAAACCGCGTGCACCCCCTGGGTTTGCTGTTCTTGGTGACTATCTGACTCCAATGTCAGTGAAAAACTTCTAACAATCTCTTCTTTTGAGGTCAGCTCTTATACTCTTTCCTTTGAACGTGTCAATAATAATTGTCTACATGTTACAGGGACAAGCCTCCTACAAAAGGAGTTCTTGCTGTAAATACCAACTTTGCAAGAGTCAAAAGACCAGTATCGTTTAAACTAATTTGGCCACCTTTAGCTTCTGGGGCAATTTCTGATGAAGGTGTATCGAATTATGATTCACTACAAAATGTGGTACCTGCTGAAGGAGATAGTCACTGTTCTGTTTGGTTCCCTGTAGCTCCCAAAGGCTATGTTGCGTTGGGCTGCATTGTTTCTCCTGGAACAACACCGCCACCGCTAACTTCTGCTTTCTGCATCTTGGCTTCTTTAGTATCCCCTTGTTCTCTGAGAGATTGTATCACCATCAGCTCTACCAGTCTGTATGTTCAAACAATTCTCAGCTAATAAGTTCAGTTTAATCACAATATACAGACACAAATATATGCATCTGTAGATATGTGTTTGTACTTTTTTTTAGTAAACAATTCTGCTCAACTACGAATGCCTGCAAGTTATGTGCATGCAACAGCTTGATTAGTTAACTGTTTGTTTTCGGGAATCTATTGCTGATTGTTAGTATCCTTGTAATAAGACTTCTTTGGTAATATTCGACTTACAAGGTGAGCAATTTAAGTAGGTTTCTGATGATGGTTAAGGTTATTTTTGTTTTATACTGTACTTTTGGAAAGTGTGATGTCTGTAATGTTTGTGTGCACGAGTATGAGATTATAGTCCTTTGGTGGAATATTGTCTCTGTCAGTTTAATAGGGATGTTGTGTGTTTGAGTTATATTTTTGTGTCAATGTGCAGATCTCAATCAAGTTTCGGGTTTTGGCGAGTGGATAATTCTGTTGGAACTTTCTTGCCAGCAGATCCGTTGAATTATAGCTTATCAGGTAGGGCATATGAACTGCGTCATGCAATTTTTGGGTTTCCAGAAGTATCTCCAAAACCATTTGAGCATTCACATGCTCAGGCTTCTAGTAATGTTCAAGATAGGCCATTGGAAAAGTCAGCAGTTGTAAACTCTGGTAGGCGTTTTGAAGCAGTTGCTAGTTTTCACTTGATATGGTGGAATAGGGGTTCAAACTCAAAGAAGAAATTATCCATATGGCGTCCAATAGTCCCTGAGGGTATGGTGTATTTTGGTGATATTGCTGTTAAAGGGTAAGTAACATTCAATAGTATATCCCTTATGATTCTTTTTCTGTTTCATTGATATAAGAATTATCCTCTGATGAATTATGTATAATTTAGGTATGAACCACCTAATACGTGCGTCATTCTTCATGATACTGGAGATGAAGACCTCTTCAAAGCTCCTCTGGATTTCCAACTTGTTGGACAGGTCAAGAAGCGAAGGGGAATGGAGAACATTTCTTTCTGGCTTCCTCAAGCTCCCCCAAGTTTTGTTTCTTTAGGTTGCATTGCATGTAAGGGCACACCAAAACATAATGATTTCAGCTCCTTAAGATGCATACGTAGTGATATGGTCACTGGAGATCAATTTTTGGAAGAGAGTGTGTGGGATACTTTTGATGCAAAGCTTAGAGGAGAGCAGTTCAGCATATGGACTGTTGCTAATGAGTTGGGAACCTTTATTGTCCGTGGTGGTTCCAAAAGACCTCCTAGAAGGTTTGCCTTAAAGCTAGCAGATCAGAATTTTGCAAGTTGTTCAGATGATACTGTCATTGATGCTGAAATTGGAACTTTTTCTGCTGCACTTTTTGATGACTATGGTGGCTTGGTGAGAATTCTTATTACGAGTAGCTTTATACAAAGCAATTGGCCGAATGCTTAAGCCACCTATTCTTGATTAGACTGATGTTGGTCTAAGCAGGAATTTGATAATGAGATTTACTAGTATGAATAAATTGAGGATTAACATGGTAAAGTATGATTTAGTGCTTAAGCTGTCTGGAAATTCTTGCAGACCTTTGTTGACCTGTTCTTCTTGCCTCTTTTCTTTCTTTCTTTATTATATTCTAGTTCTCACTGTATTTCTCCCATTAAAATTTTCACCCCATATGCAAGTTCCAAGGTTTTGTTTGTTGACCATAATTAAAATTGTAAGTGTATGCTTCAGGATAATAGTTTTTCTCCTGCAGTTAAAGCTTTTCTTTTTCTGCTGTGATCTATAAACTTGTTGATTGTTAGCTGCATATTATTTTCACACTTAGTCTTGTTTTTCTCGCGGTTTGAATGCTGTATTAGTTTCTTTAGGGTGGTAACTATGATTCATATCTTACAATCTTGTGTATTACATTTGTGACATGTGCTTGAAATTCTTTCTTCCTAGATTTAATTCCCTGAATTTTCTCTCTTTTCTCTCACGGCAGATGGTTCCCTTGTTTAACATATCTCTAAGTGGAATTGGATTTAGTTTGCATGGGAGACCTGACTACTTGAATTCCACAGTCAGCTTCTGTTTGACTGCAAGATCATACAATGATAAGTATGAAGCTTGGGAGCCTCTTGTTGAGCCAGTCGATGGATTTTTAAGGTAATTTATAGTACTATGAATCTAATTATATTTTACAAGAGAAAGATGTGCAGGATAACCGAATTCCCTCTTCCTTGCCTTCTAATTCTGTAATTCAAAGAATTTTAACTTCTCTTTTATAAGAGAAATCAGTGACAAGTTTTCTGGTTGTTTTATGTGCTTGTTTTTCAAAAACCTTTTTTAGCTTGTAGAAAATTGTTATATCTGCATAACCTTCAGGTTCATATATTTGATTTTAAGTACAATTAGAATCCTCTGACCATTTGTTCCTTCACTGTCCAACGGCTTCAAAATTATGGGCAAAAGTTTGTAGTGAAACCAATCTTCAATGGGTTACTCCTAGATCTTGTTTTGATTTACTTATGGAGAACTTTACTTTCTTTGGTAAAAGAAAATAGGCCAAGACTGTCAGAAATTGTGTGGTTTTTGTTGTTTTGTGGGTTATTTGGGGTGAAAGAAATAAAAGGATTTTGAAGATAGTTGGGAAGAAGAATCTGAAATTTTTGGCATCTCTTTGGGCTTGTGTCTCTAAAGACATTGAGGACACCTCTTTTTTCTTTATCCATCTGAGTTGGTTAGATTAGAAAGATGATTGTGGTGTTTTAGGATTTGTTCATGCCATAATGTATCTTTTTTCTGGGTTTCTTTTTTCACAGGCTCAAGATACTCTTTCTGAAGCTATAGCCTCTGTGTAGATGAGTTATTTTTGTAGTAGTGATTCTGATCCACTATCTAAGGTTTTTTTTTTTTTTTTTTTTTTTTTTTTTTGTTGGGGGGCCAATATACATTTATACATTTCCTTAAAAAAAAAAAAAAAGTACAATTTTGGTCCTCTAAGAAGAAAGCAACATGTTTGGAATATATAAAACAGCTTGTGGTTGTGAATGTCTCGAGTTTAGAAATTATGGAAATAGTTGAATTCTTTATGACACGTGGAAATGGTGATTTCCTTATGTTGATGGGAGGAGGAACTCATTAATGTGTTTTCTTGTGAGTACTATATATCACTTGCTACCGGGTTTGCAATTTTTATCTCAATTGAACAGGAGGCCTGTATCCTGTTTGACCATGCTTTCTGATCAAATTTCCTCTCTTTTTACACTCTGGCTCTTCCTGACCTGTCAATTTATCATAGAAATTCCAGTTTTATGTTAATATCTGATTTGTTACCAGGTATCAGTATGATCTCAAGGCACCAGGTGCAGCTTCTCAGTTACGCTTTACCGCCACTAGGGATCTGAACTTGAATGTCTCAATATCTAATGCTAATATGATACTCCAAGCCTATGCAAGCTGGAACAATCTTAATCATGTCCACGTGTACTATGAAACAACTGTAAATTTCTTCTTCTATGTATGATTTAAAAAAAAAAAAAAATTTGGTGTTGCATTTATTTGCTTGTTTTGTCTAAATCTTCTAACACTTCCTTTTGTTACTTTATATTGAATAGGAAGCTTTTCCTCCAACTTATGGTGGAAGATCTATCATTGATGTCCATCACAAGAGAAATTACTTCATAATCCCACAAAACAAACTTGGTCAGGATATTTTTATTCGAGATACTGAAATCAGAGGATTTTCGAATATAATTAGAATGCCATCTGGGGATATGAAGCCTGTAAAAGTTCCTGTTTCAAAAAATATGTTGGACTCCCACTTGAAGGGAAAATATTGTGGGAAAGTTAGAACCATGGTGACACTCATTATAGTGGATGCGCAGGTATAATCCCTTTGATCATGTAATGGAGGATATTGCTTTCTATGTTCTGTACTTTCACAGTAGAGTTGCTACTCTTTAATATTTGTTGAATTTTCTAGCCATGATACTTGATTATATTTTATCCGTGACGTTTCTTATAAAAAATTAAAATAAACTCGTATCTTATCAGTATTGATACTGTCTGATGTGAGAATGGGAAAGCTCACTTTACTTCTTTGTTTGTATGTGCTTGGATATAGTTCCCTAGTATTGGAGGGTTGACCCCTCACCAGTATGCTGTGGCTGTCCGACTTACTCCAAATCAACACCTTTCAAGTGAATCGCCTCTCCATCAACAGAGTTCACGCACCTGCGGAAGTACCTCAAGCTACTCATCATCTTCTGAGCTTGAAGTTGTCAATTGGAGTGAAATATTTTTCTTCAAAGTTGACTCCCTGGTACAAAAATGTTTCTTCTTGTGCAGTATGTGTGTGTATGTCTGTGATTGTGTTTTCCTAACAATGGCATATATTTTTGACTGAATGTGCTATGTAATAATAATTGTTTAATACTTTTGCATCTCAAATCTGTCGTTATATTTAACAGTATTAGGCTCCGTTCGTTTACTGATGTTGTCTTTTGTTCTCATTTTTCATCCCTAGGAAAAGGTGTAAAACTTGTTTGGTTAGCCTTTCTGCTTAATTCGATTTGTGAAAATTGAGAAAATTGTTGCTAGAGTGAGAAATATGGGTCCTGCGTCTGGTATTAAAATTTTGAAATTTTGAATATAGAATTATTTATTCTCTTTCTCCCTAATATTTTATTTTCTCTCACTAAAAACAAAAATCTTCATTTCAAATGAAATTTTTAGGTACAAAATTGCAAACGAGAATAAAAAATGAATATATTTAAGACAGTTTTCTGAGACAAACAAAATAAGTGGTATTTTGAAGGGGTTTTATCGGTTGTGGAGATGATAAATTTTGTGTTTCTCATTTTTTCTTTCTATGTTTTCAGACAAACATGCCAAGTGCTTTTTCATTTTTCATGTTTTCAAATGTGTTTTTAGACAAACATGTCGAACGCGTTTTTATTTTTCGCTTTCCCGATCTATATTTTCAAAAAAAAAAAAAAAAAAAAAATGGATACACAAATTTCATAAAAGAACACGCCCTTTATTTCTTTACTGCATGATTTGATTTTGGTATGAAAGAGAAACTGGTTTTGCTTTTCATGGAATCAGTCTGGGTGACTCTGCAGATTGCAAAGTTTTTCCCTCTAATCGGTTTGACTTTTTATGGCTGCTCATAGGCACTTCCGTGTCTGAAATTGATATATTGCGTATGAATTCTCATCGACAATATGAGCCATGAGTGTAAACCAATGGTTCATATTGATCTCTCTTTTTGTTTCTGTCTCTATTTGGTGTAGCCATCTGAGGAGATGTCTAAATTGATTGCAGGATTACTACAAGATGGAAGTAATAGTGACTGACATGGGAAAAGGTATTGAGTTTGATAGATGGACCTCTTATCTTTGTTAGTTGTTGACATGGCTTATTTGCTTTTAAAGTAACTGATAAAATTCTTTAAGTTTGAATATTTTTGCCTATGAACTTTCTGACCTTTTACGCAAAAGTCTGCTAAATATCTGTTTACCCCTGGTATTAGAGTGTTTGTAGTTTTCCCGTTCAATCCATATGCATTAGATATCTTTTATCTTTTTTGCCATAAGTTGGAAGTGTGATATGTAAGGTTACTAAAAAGCTCACCACTGTTAGATAAAAATTAACGTGAACCTGTTGAGGCTCTTTATTAGTATATAACGATATTTATTTTCCTGACTAGAAATCAATCAGTAATATGTAAGACAAGCTACATATGGTGACTAGAGATATTCATATATCAAAAGGACACATCCCAAACACATCGATATCATATCAGTGTAACATTCAAATATATCACATGTATCTGAATATCTCTAGCCCCAATATGTAAGACAAGCTCCCTTCTTTGGACTACAAAAATTTGGCATGTTGTAGTTCAATAGTTTTCATGAATCTTTGACTCAAGAACTTATTGGATAGTGTTTTTTGAATGAATATTATGATCTGATCCACTAAATAGTTTTAAGTTATATACATATCTAAGTTTCCTCTTTATAAAAAAAAAAAAAAAAAAAAAAAAAAAAAAAAAAGTTGATAATGATATGGGTCATGGGAAAAGACAGTGCTTTTATACCTGTTTTGGTCAACATTCATTTAATACCTCTTTTATTAAAGTGAAAAACAGAGAACTAATTGTAATTTTGTTATATCTGTATTAATAAATTATACATCAATATATAGGAAAATAAAAAACTAATCTAGAAAACAAATAATCTACTGTAGGAAATGAATAATCTAACTTCCTATTTTACAGATTTGTTTTTAATATATATTGATTACAATCCTAATATCCTATTATAGATTTATACACTTAATCATGCAATATCTGTAAGATTTTGCATGATTATCTACAATACTCCCCCTCAAGATGGAGCATAGATGTTAATCATGCCCAACTTGTTACAAATATAATCAATTTGAATCCATTTCAAAGCTTTAGTGAAAACATCTCGTAGTTGCTCTCCAGTCTTCACATATGCTGTAGAGATTAAACCTTGTTGTATTTTCTCACGAATGAAATCACTGTCAATTTCAACGTGCTTAGTTCATTCATGAAATACGGGATTAAAAGCAATATGAAGAGTGGCTTGGTTATCACACCACAATTTTGCTGGCAAAGAGACCATAAGACCAACTTCAGTAAAAAACTGATATATCCATATTACTTCACACAGAGATTGGGGTATAGCCTTATATTCTGATTCTGCACTAGGTCGGGACACTAGAGTTTGCTTCTTACTTTTCCTTGAGACCAAATTTCCACCTATAACAACACAATAGCCCCATAGTGGATCTCCTATCTATCTTGGAACCCGCCCAATCTGCATCAGAGAAGCCCTCAATATTATTATGTCCATGATTTTCGTACAAAATACCACGTCCTGAAGCTCCTTTCAGATAACACAGAATCTGTTTTAAGGCTGCCCAATGGTCAACAGTAGGAGAAGACATGAATTAATTTACTACACTGACAGAGTACGTAATATCAGGACGAGTGACTGTTAGATAGTTCAACTTTCCAACTAGTCTTCTATACCTCTCATGATTTTCAAATAGTTCACCATCTTTGGTAAGTTGCGAATTAGGAAACATTGGCGTACTGCATGACTTAGCACTCAATTTTCCTGTCTCAATTAATAAGTCAAGTACATATTTCATTTGAGAAAGGAAAATGCATTTCTTGCTCCTTGTTACCTCAACCCCTAAGAAATACTTTAACATTCCTAAATCTTTTGTATGAAACTGAGTGTGAAGAAATGACTTAAGTAATGAAATCCCTGTAGTGTCACTCCCAGTGATGATAATGTCATCAACATATACAACAAGAAGAATAATGCCAACTGCCGATTGTTTGTAAAAGACTGAGTGATCAGACTTGCTCTTTGTCATTCCGAACTTTGCAACTACCTCACTAAACTTTCCAAACCAAGCACGTGGACTCTGTTTCAAACCATACAACGATTTGCGAAGATGACAAACTTTCCCATACTCCCCCTGAGCAACAAATCCAGGTGGTTGCTCCATATAGACTTCTTCCTGAAGGTCACTATGTAAAAAGACATTTTTTATGTCCAACTGAAGTAATGGCCAAGAATGAGTAGCCGTCATAGAGATAAATAAGGGAACAGAAGTCAATTTAGCCATAGGGGAAAAAGTGTCAGAATAATCCACTCCATAAGTTTGAGCATAACCTTTAGTTATAAGGCGAGTTTTAAGCCTAGCCACTGACCCATCAGGATTTACTTTAACATCAAACACCCATTTGCATCCAATAGGCTTCTTTCCAGTAGGTAAGTCAACCAAGTTCCAAGTACCATTAACATCTAAAGCATTCATCTCTTCTGTCATAGCATCACGCCAACCAGGATGAGATAGGCTTCATGAACAGTTGCAGGAAGGGAGACAGAGTCTAGTGATGCCACAAAAGAACAAGAAGAAGATGATAGGTGATCATAAGAAATAAATGAAGAGATAGGATAAGTACACTATCGTTTACCTTTCCGAAGAGCAATAGGAAGATCAAGATCACTCAAGGGTGGATCCAACGACGAAGAGTCTTGGGTACGACATGAAGTCTGAGTGTTTTCTTGACGAGGAACACAGGTATCGGGATCATTGGAGACTAGGTCTAACGACGAAGGGACTGAGACAGGAGATTCTTGTCGACGAGAATAGACAATGCAAATTGGAGGTAGTGGACGGACATGTGGTGGTGCCGGAGGGAGAACAGTAGGTGGGGAAGCCTCAGGTGTGGGAGTAGCCGGTAGGGATGTGGTAGTATAGATTAGTAAGTCATCGTCCTTCCCCTGACGTTTATAGGTAGACAAAGTAGGAAAAAAAGGGATGTTTTCTAAGAAAGTAACATCATGTGACACCAGATATCTATTAAGACTAGGACAATAATATCGATATCCCTTCTGAAGGCGAGAGTAACCTAGAAAAACACATTTAAGATATTTGGGATCTAACTTGGTTGCCTGGGGTCGAACATCATGAATAAAACAAGTACTACCAAATATCTTTGGGGCAATAGGAAACAATGGCTTAGACGAGAAGAGAACACTGTAAGGAGTAGAACCATTCAGAATAGAGGAAGGCATGCGGTTAGTTAGAAAACAGGCCGTGGAAACTGCATCGGCCCAAAACTGTTTAGGAACTTGCATTTGAAATAATAGGGCTCGAGTGGTTTCAAGAAGGTGTCTGTTTTTCCTTTCGGCTACTCCATTTTGGGACAGTGTGTCAACACAAGAGGATTGATGAAGAATGTCATGTTGGCTCATATAAGACTAAAAAGAACTCGAAAAATATTCTTTGGCATTATCGCTTCTTAATGTTTGGACAAAAGTATTAAATTGAGTTTTAACTTCAGCATAAAAGGCACAAAAATGAGAAACCAACTCAGAACGATTTTTCATTAAATAAAGCCAAGTTACACGAGAGTTGTCATCAACAAAAGTAACAAAATATTTACATCCAGGTTTAGACATAATAGAGCACGGACCTCAAATATATGAATGAGCTAATTCAAAAGGGACACTAGCTCGTTTATTGACTCTTGGACTTGAAGAAAGACGGTGGTGTTTGGCAAATTGACATGACTCACAATCTAACGAAGATAATTTATTAAACTAAGGACATAGTTTCCTTAACAATGGTAGAGAATGATGTCCTAACCGACAATGCGCCTTAAAAGGGGTCGAAATTCTGGAACATGCAATGGTTCTGGGCACCTGTGTCTCAAGGATGTAAAGCCCTCTAGATTCATGTCCTTTACCAATAATTTGCCTCGTCGTAAGATCCTGAAATAGACAATGATCAAGGAAAAATGAGATGCAACATTTAAGAGCACGAGTGAGTTTACTCACAGAAATTAAATTAAAAGCGAACTGTGGTAGACTCAATACAAAGGATAGGGAAATTAACGGAGTAGGGTTAATAGACCCAAACCCAAGAACACAAGAAGTTGACCTATCAGTTAAAGTAACATTAGACGAGAAATTATGTGACTGATATGATGAAAAGAGACTAGGATTACCTGTCATATGATCTGTGCACCAGAATCAATGACCCATTTGGAGGATGAGGAAATAAGACATGTATTTGGTTTACTTGACTCGGCAAGAGCAGTGATGGAAGTAGATGAGGACTTCAATGATTCTTGATACTGAGAAAACTTGACAAACTCATCAGCTGAAATCATAACCTTCTTCTTAGAAGTATCAGTAGCGGCAACATGAGCTGATTGAGGTTTCTGGGCCTTATTTTGCAACTTTCTACACGTGCGCTTTGTATGACCGGGTTCATGACAATAGTGGCACACAATCCCTCCTGACTCCTTACTCCGATTATCATGATTATTCGAACCCCCTCCTCTATCATTGCTCCTATTATATGAACGTCCGGTGTCATTATTCTGACTTACAAGAGCACTACTCGACTGAACAGATAGAGTGTTTTCTGTACGAAGAACCTTAGTAAATAGTTCTTGAAGGGAGGTGATCTCAGAACTGGCGAGAACCTGAGATTTAGCAGATTCAAACTCAGAAGGGAGTCCAGCCAGGAAACTCATAACCGCCATTTTCTCTCGTTGAGCTTGTTGAACTTTTACATCAGCACTCACCGGTAAAAGGACGTTAAGTTCTTCATATATCCCTTTAAAGTCCATAAAATAGGTTGTAAGAGACCTATCTTGTTTCTCAGCTCTATAAAAGGCTTTGCATACATAAAAAATACGAGAAACATTCCCTTTCCCAGAGTACAAAAAATATAGATAGTCCATCAACTCTTTCATATATTCATAATGATTAATTAAACCAAGTACCTCACTGTTGATGGAGTTCCGTATCTGCAAGAACAACCGGACATCTTCTCTCAAACATGTTTGCTTTGAATCGTCTTCAGACGGATCTTTTGTGAGTTGATCATCTTTACCAATGCTTCGCAGGTAGAGATGAATTGTCTTACTCCAATCAAAGTGGTTATCAGACCCGTTAAGCTTATGTTCTGTAATTTTTGACATTACAGGAACCATATCAGTTATAGGCTTATCAGCCATGGTAAGAAGACGAAAAATTGATCTCAACACAAATAAGCCAACACAACTTACAGGCAAAGTTCAACAAACTGACCTCAGCACAAATAGCCAACAAAACTCTTCAAAGAATGAAATCTGATACCAACAGAAATCAACAAAACTGATCTGACCTGGCTGAGAGACTGAGGAACTGATCACACAGACTTGTCGAAAATATCAAGACAAAGCCAAGAAGGGTGATCGAAGCACTGTCCTCCGTCACACGTGCCCCCACGCGCTGGTGCGTGAAGATTGTTGCAGATGAAAAAGGTGGTGCGTGAGACTCACGCGCTGCTCCTCCGGTGACCGGACTTCAGGGAATGGTCGATCGGCAGGAGGGCTTTCTTCCTAGGCAGGCGATGAGAAAAAAAAGGTCACTCTCCAGGGTGACTCACAAATAATGCTTACTTGGGCAAAGAAAAAGAAAACGAAATTGAAAAACAACCTAGAATTGCTTTGATACCATGTGAAAAACAGAAAACTGATTGTAATTTTATTATATATATATTAATAAATTATACATCAATATATAGGAAAATAAAAAACTAATCTAGGAAATAAATAATCTAATCTAAGAAATGAATAATCTAATTTCCTATTTTACAGATTTGTTCTTAATATATATTGATTACAATCCTAATATCCTATTATAGATTTATACACTTAATCATGCAATATTTGTAAGATTTTGCATGATTATCTACAACAATTAACTTATAACTGTTATTACAGGTGATCCTATTGGGTTCTTCTCAGCTCCATTGAATAAGATAGTTGGGAATGTCGAAGACAATTTATATCCTTACGTAAATAACTTAATGTGGATAGACTTATGCTCGGCAGAATCTATGGTAAATCCTATCTTTTGTGTTTTTCGTATTCTCCTCCTTTCTTACTGAAGCATCTATTAGCAATTTCAATAATGACGTGTTTTTCTTTCAGAATACAACTGAAGCAAATAAACGTGAGGAGCTGTGTGGTAGAATAAGATGTGCCGTTCTCTTGTCACCCAAACCTGAAGTTGATGACAGAAATGATAGTCTTATTGGTGGCAGAAAATCTGGATCTATTCAAATCAGTCCTAGCATGGAGGGGCCCTGGACAACTGTAAGGCTAAACTATGCTGCACCTGCTGCTTGTTGGCGGTTAGGCAATGATGTTGTTGCCAGTGAAGTAGTTGTGAAGGATGGCAATAGATATGTGAATATTAGGTCTCTGGTGTCTGTATGTAATAATACAGACTTTGTACTTGATTTGTGTCTTGTGCCCAAAGCTTCCAATCAAAACACGAGGCCACTAAATGATTCAAGTAAGCCCGGAGATACACAAATAGATGGTGAAAGAATTCAGATAGATGAGTTCTTTGAAACTGAGAAATACAACCCAACAATTGGCTGGGTTGGCCTTCAACCTATTCAAGATCATGCAGAATGTGGAAGCCCACATCAGGTGAGTTATTAACGTCTTCTCATCATAACAGAATATGTTTAAGTTATAGTTGTTTTTGATATATTGCATTTTGGTACTGCTGTTGGTTTCTGTGACAGAGGAGTTTTTTGATCCTCATCATGTATTAATTGGACTGGTGGTCCATGAATATCGTTTTTTTGTGGGATCATATTCTTTTATTAAAAAAAAGAAAGATATTGCTATATTCTATTCATTATTAGATTAGCCATTAATGTGGCAGAGATATATTTTTTATCTATTCATTATTAGATTAGCCATTAATGTGGCAGAGATATATTTTTTATCTTGTTGACAGTTGGTGATCTTTCTTACGATTTTGCTAGGGTAAAGTAGGACTTTTATGAACTTTTAACATATTTTTGAACTGGATGTGTGTTTGTATTTTGGTGTTGAGCTGTTCAGAATTTGGTTTTGTGATTACTTGTTACTGGTAAGTACTTGTTAATGCATCTGAGTGGGTGATTAGTATTGATTAAAATCCTGGCGATTCACCCAATTGACTAGTGCTTCAATATTTATATATATTGCTGAAAAGAGTATTTCCAATTGAAGTAGCAGGTGAAAGTAGAGTTTTGACCTAGACTTGCCATGGTAAGATTCTCAACATCACTACCTCTACAAGCTTTCAGAAGCTCACTCAAGATAAATTTCTGTGCGACACCAGAAAATTCATGAATAATATGAACAACTTCCAGAAAGAAATGATGTTATATAGGAAGAATAAGTGATGTTGTACCTTATTGATAATAATTGTTAGATATCGTTTTAGAAGAATGATTTTTTAACTGTACAAGGTTCTGTTCCTGAACTGTTTTTCTAAAGCAATATACTTTTAGGTCATCAACATGTATTCTATTTTCAGTATCTCAATCCATCATGTTTAGGATCTTTATCTTTGATATTGCCCTATTTTCCTTCATTTTGGGCCAAAGCCATTATTACTGTGATTTACTATGACATATCTTAACAAGAATTACCTACCTAGTATCAAAGTGGGGTACGTTGCTTGCATAAATTAATTCCTTTTATGCAGATACATAAAACCTATCCCATTTAGAAGTTTACTAGCTGTTACAATCATTTTACATTCAAGCCTTCAGTGATGGTATTGTGTGCAAAGTTATACAAAATTGACTGATTTTGGAAGCTTTCGCTTGTTTCTTATTACTGATGACCACACAGGCAACTTTTGGAATCGAGTTAGCATCAGGCTGGGAATGGATCGGTGATTGGCACTTGGATACATCATTGGTTAATACTGCTGATGGTTGGGTATATGCCCCAGATGTTGAGAGTTTAAAATGGCCTGAATCTTTTGATTCACTAAATTTTGTGAATTATGCAAGACAGAGAAGATGGATCAGGAAGAGAAAACAAATGTCAGGCAATATAAAGCATGAGATATCTGTAGGACTCTTGAAACCTGGAGACTCTATTCCCCTTCCTCTAGCAGGCTTGACGCAGTCTGGATTGTTTGTGTTGAAATTAAGACCTTTAAATCTTGGTATTCATGATGAATATTCTTGGAGTTCAGTGGTGGATAGATCTGGTCAATCAGAGTTTTCTGGTAGACCAGATAGTTCTGATGAAATAAGTGTATCAACTCTCACAGAGTCTGATGAACTGTTGTACTGCACCCAGATAAGTGGAACATCTGCCAATGTTTGTCATAAGCTGTGGTTTTGTGTAAGCATACGAGCAACAGAGATTGCAAGAGACATTTATTCTGACCCTATTGAGGATTGGAGTCTTGTAGTAAAGCCTCCGTTGTCTATCACCAATTATCTTCCTCTTAAAGCTGAATATTCTGTTCTTGAGATGCAAGCAAGTGGTCATTGTGTTGCCTGCTCTAGAGGAATATTATTTCCTGGAAAAACTGTCAAGGTTCACAATGCTGATGTAACAACCCCTTTATTCCTTACACTTCTTCCACAAAGAGGATGGCTGCCAATACATGTAAGATCGTAAAATGAATCTTTCCTTCATACATCTTACTTTTTGTAATGTTAACTTTTATCAGCCATAACATTCACTTTTTTCTTCCTTCTACATTTTGTTATTATTGGTTTACAGGAAGCTGTATGTATATCACACCCTCATGGAGTTCCATCTAAAACAATGAATTTAAGAAGTTCAATATCTGGAAGGTTTTATCCTACTTTACTAGCGTTTTTCAATTTTCTGGTTTTTGCCAAATCAAAAAATGTCATTTATATTGAAGTCTGATATGCTGGAAAATCATGGTATAAGCAGGATTGTTCAACTCATTCTGGAACAGAATTATGACAAGGAACAACCACTATTGGAAAAGATGATCAGAGTCTATGCTCCCTTTTGGTTTGAAATTGCCAGATGTCCCCCACTTACATATAGACTTCTAGATATGACAGGAAAAAAACATACACGGAAAATAGTGCTTCCATTTCAGTCTAAAAAGGACAATGAAGTGATTCTCGAGGAAATAACAGAAGAGGAAATATATGAAGGTTGCACAATTGCTTCAACTTTGAACTTTAAATTGTTGGGTCTCTCAGTATCAATCGCTCAATCTGGCACTGATCATTTTGGGCCTATTAAAGATCTTTCTCCCCTTGGTGACATGGTAAACATCAATGTAAACTGTTTATGAAGCCATGACTCAAATAAAGCGGATCTTTATGTTAAGAATTTTTTCTCTGTGTGTGTGTATTCTTTATTTCATAGGATGGATCACTGGATCTTTGTGCTTACGATGATGTTGACAAATGCATGCGGCTTTTTATTTCTACAAAGACTTGCCCATATCCGTCTGTACCTACAAAGGTGAGTTTTTTTTTTTTTCTTTTTTCTTTTTTGGTTAACAGCAGAGGCATTTGTGTAATGTACAGCTATGCATACTAGTTATGAAGTGTTAACCTCATTTTTTAGGTAATATCTGTTCGACCATTCATGACTTTCACAAATAGGCTGGGTCAAGACATATTTATTAAGCTGAATGGTGAAGATGAACCCAAGGTTCTTCGTGCATCTGATTCAAGAGTCTCCTTTGTTTGTCGTGAGACAACTGGAACAGATAAACTACAGGTCTGTTAAACCTCATGACTTTTCAGCATTGTTATCATTCTGTGCATACTTTTTCAGTTATTACAGATTTTGCTTGTTTACTTTATCCACCTCAATATACTATCTCCATCCTTGAATGGTGTCTACAAACCTCTTTGAATTTAAAATCTTGGAAAGCTCCTTTTTCTCTTGCCTCCTTTTCCTTTAAGAAATTCTATATTTGGTATCATGGTTTTCTTTCACGGGTGGCTACCAGAAAGTTTGTCAAATACAGTAAAGCGCCTTACCTCTTAAAACTTGGCCATGCCCATGAGTTCAGAATAATAATTGTAGTCCATATTTTCAATGGAATTTTTTATGGTTCGAGTAAATTATTCCACAACTTCTTAAGTCTCTTCGATTGACAAGTAAAATTAATTGTTGGCTCTATATTTCCTGCATACAATCAGTATCTGTTTGGTTGTCCAATTGAATCTGAATTATCCCAGTTGTACAACAAACTCAAAAAATTGTAACTACAAATGAGGCATTCAAGGAGGCCTCATCATGACAGATATTCAAAAGAAGGGTATAGTATGATTTTAAAATATTGTCGTGGTAGTGGTGACTGGTGAGCAAAATGGGAGCAGCTTAAACCGTGAAAATTGGATTGTGGATTTTGCATCTTGCCTGATATGATGATGACTTGGTTTGTATAGGAAATGTAGATAAGTATATTAATATTTATAACTTAGTGGATTAGAAATCTACTACTACAGAAATAACCCATCTAACATGGGGCTAAAGTTTTACAAAGAGTATAGTGAGCCGGCATAAAAAGAATCTTTTTTGGGGATAACCAAACAGATTGATAAGTAATATATTCCCTAATGAAGAAAATTTTCATTCAAATGTTAAATTTTCTTTTCTTTTTCAATCTGATGGTTATACTTAAAATGTCGTTTGGAGCTATTGGCAACCAACTTATGCTATTCAAAATTCTAGGTACGATTGGAAGATACAAAATGGTCATTTCCTGTTCAAGTTATGAAAGAGGACACCTTCTCTCTAGTTTTGAGGAGACATGATGATACACGGAGATTTTTGAGGACAGAAATACGAGGCTATGAAGAAGGATCTCGTTTTGTTGTTGTATTTCGCCTTGGATCGACGGATGGTCCTATCAGGTACTTTAATATGTATATAATACATTTATTAATGTCAATTAGGTTCTTTATAAATGGTGACTGAGCAATGTATAAGTGAACAGGATTGAAAACAGAACAATCAGCAAAACAATTAGCATTCGTCAGTCTGGATTTGGTGAAGATGCATGGATTCCCACAGAACCTCTTTCAACCACAACTTTTGCTTGGGAAGATCCTTATGGCCAGAAATTATTGGATGCTAAGATTGATGATCATGGTATCACTGGAGTTTGGACGCTTGATTTGGAAAAGACTGGGTTATATTCTGCAGTGGAGGGGGAACTAGGATTGCAATTCCATGTTCTAGAAATTGGTGATATCAAAGTTGCTAGGTTCACAGAGGATAGGACAGCAAGTTCACATGAAATCAGGTCTTTGGCACCTGGAAATTGGAGAAATTCTCAAATGCAGAGAGAGACACAGTCCACTTCCACACCAATGGAGCTGATAATTGAATTGGGAGTTGTTGGGGTTTCTGTGATTGACCATAGGCCCAAGGAGCTCTCATACTTGTACATGGAGAGGGTTTTTGTATCATATTTGACTGGATATGATGGTGGAACAACCAGCAGGTAAGAGCACCTTCCCATGGTCATAGGGCCTTATTTTCTTAATTCATTTGCTTTTGTTCCTTGTCGCATTTAAGATTTGTGCATGACCTGCTCTGTGTCAGTAGTCTGACTACAATTGTTCCTGGCCATTGATAATGCTCTTTCTGATGTCCACTATATAACAACTAATATCCACTGCCGATCGGGGCAAAGTTTATCCACAGGCCTTGGTGGCCACCCCAAGTCCCACAAAAGGTTTCCAAATATATATATATATATAAGAATATAGATTCATCCCTTAGGGTGTGTTTGGGTTGGGATAATGGAAGATTACTTAGGTAATGTCATCTTATATTACTTGATTACCACGTTTGGTTATTAATATCAAATTCCGGTAATTTTCCAAAACCAATAGTAATTATTGTTGGTAATATATAAGGTAATCTGATTATCTTTATTTTCTTAGATATTTTAATATTACTTGTTAATCTTATTTTTGTTATAATTTTACCCCTTAGAGTGCATTTGGTTCAGAGAATGTTTTATTATCAGGAATGTTATATTAATGGAAAAATAGATTAACTTGAACATGATTGTGAATGTTTAGGAAAATATGTTTGGTTGGTTGAAATTAATTGGTGCATATGTTATATTAATATGTTTGGTTAGGAGGATAAATAGGTGAGTATGTTATATATAGATTACTAAATTGTCCTTCTTTTTAAATATTAATATAATATTATTTTTATTATTATTTTTTGAATCATTTTTTTAACCCCTACATTTGAAATTTTGCTAAAACACCTCAGCCATATAAAACTTTAATTTGTAGTAAAATCACCCCCACCCACCTCAAGCTACTGTCGACAGCCAACCACTACCGCTGGCAGCCGTCGTAATGGCGCACGTATGGCGGGATTTGGCTGGTTGTGTGTCGGAAACGGCCAGATTTGACTATTTCTGGTCATGGATTAAAGATACATGGCTGGAAACGGCCTTACCGGCACACAAACGGCCAAATCCCTCCGGTCATGTGTCATTACGGCGATTGCCACCGCCGGCCGACGATTGTGGTCGGTAATGATCTTGGGTGGCTAAAGGTATTTTGTTAACTTTTAAACTTTTTTATTATTAGGGTGTTTTAGCTAAATTCTCAAATGTAGGGGGTCTAGGCAAATAGTTATTTGGTAGACATTTAAGGACAATTGTGTCCAAGATGGTATTTAATTAAGGGCAAAATAGGTATAAAAATCATATTACCTCAGTAATCTTTTAATAATATCTCTTGGAATTACCCCTTATATTACCAACTATAAATACTATTTGCAATAAAAGATGCCCGTAATATTTTATTACTTGTAAACCAAACATTACCTCCGTAATCTTATATGACTCCTAACCAAATGTACCCTTATTAATAAAATTTTAGAACAATATGCCCTTGTTTTAAAAACAATTTACAAAAATACTAATGGATTATTTTATCCTTATATACAAAGATTTTAAGATATAAATACCCTTGGAATTTAAAAAAATTACCCAAGGGTGGTGGTCGGATTTGGCCACCACTGTCGGCGGCCACTAGAGGTGACAGAATGGCGCATGACCAACCAGATTTGGCTGGTCATGCGTTACTAAGGCCATTTCAGATCCATAACCGGAAATAGCCAGATCTGGCAGTGAAAAGGCCAAATGTTTGGCTGTGAAACGACGGCTATTTCACAACCACATCTTTGGCTGTGAAAAAACCATAGATTTGACCGTGAAAGGCCTGATCTTTGGTCGTGAAACGACCATCGTTTCACGGCCAGATCTCCATTGTTGTCACCGTCGGCGGTGGTGGCAGGCTGCTAGCTATGGCTTGGGGTAGGTGGGGGTGTTTTTGTAAAGTTTTAAACTTTTTTTGTTGCTAGGGTGTTTTAGCTAAATTTGAAATGTGGGGGTTAATATAAATTATTCAAAAAATAATAATAAAATTTATATTATATTATCATTTAATATGAATGATAATTTAGTAATTTATATAACATACTTATCAATTTATTCCTCTCAACTAAACATATTGAGATAACATACTTACAAATTTATTCCAACCAACCAAACTCATTTCCCTAAACATTCCTAGTAATTTTTAAGATAATCTATCTTTCCATTAATATAACATTCCCTGAACCAAACACACCCTCCTCCCTAATGCAATTTCCTGGCTTTGCCTTGATTATATAGAAGATGTTATTCTGGTTTCTCCTCATCTCTTACATTGTTTTTTTAACATAGCAAGTAGCAATTGCTAGTGAAAACTAGAAACCCAAGTGTGTACATATATTTCCTTTTCTGGCAGAATCACACCAGGTAATCCATAATGGACATACAAATGCTGTTGGTTTCAAAAAAGGTTCTATGGTGGAATGTCTTACCATGCAAGGCTTGGAGTAAGGGAATAAGGGGGCTTCTAAATTTTTTGTTTTCTGATTGTATGCATCCTAGCACATCTAGCTGCTTTTCTTGTGGGAGGAATGTCTAGGGGTTGAGTTGCACTGTAGAGTTTATATAGTCCTCATGACTGAATATTTGATTAATCAGTATTTTCATCATCAGAAACGTTTAGCACATTATCTAATTCAATCTCACTTTACTGAATCTGATGAGAAATTTTGTGCTAATTTTGCCAGGTTCAAGCTCATACTTGGTCATTTGCAGATTGATAACCAGCTCCCTCTGACTCTATTGCCAGTGCTGTTGGCACCAGAGCAGGCTACTGATATGCATCATCCAGTTTTTAAGACAACAATTACAATACGCAATGAGAATGATGATGGCATCCAGGTTTATCCATATGTATACATACGGGTAATGTTTTATGAGAGCTTGAAATGCACTTCTGATGATTTTGTTTCCTTGTGATTTCTGAATATTGGTCTATCTGTTTTGCAATGATGTAATGTGTTCATAAATCTATTTTGACCTTATAGGTAACTGAAAAGTTGTGGAGACTTAATATTCATGAACCGATTATCTGGGCTTTTGTGGATTTTTACAACAATCTTCAGCTTAGTCGAGTTCCCCAAAATACAAGTGTAACTCAAGTTGATCCAGAGATTCGTGTGGAGTAAGACTCTCTTCTTCTGCATTTTGTAACTTGAAAATGTGGAAAGAATATATATTTACAGGAAGATGATTTCCTGTATCCAGTGTGGTTAAAAGACTAGGAGATGTCTAGGAAACTGCATTGTCTGACTTGAATCACATGCTTTTGCATCAATATTTACAGTATAGAAAGCAACCTCAAACAAAATTTTCATTAAGTTGGCACAAGCTCAGTCGATTAAGACTGACTGAAGTAACATTCAGTTGCACCAATCAAAATGCCACATTTTCAGCAATATTGTGGATGGATGCTGCTCCAATCACAATTGGATTTTCTATTTTAGATGTCTGTTTCATTAGAGAAAAGGATTGATTTTCCCCATCAAGTTAATGTATAGTTTGTACAAGCAGTATTTTTGCGTTTGAATCAGAGATGATATATATTTTTCCCTATCTTTTCAGCCTGATAGATGTTTCAGAAGTGAGGTTGAAGGTATCATTGGAGACGGCACCAGCCCTGAGGCCTCATGGGGTTTTGGGAGTGTGGAGCCCCATACTCTCTGCTGTTGGAAGTGCATTCAAAATTCAGGTTAGGCTCCTAACTCATCGCAAGGACTGCATCTGTTTTTATTAACTATTTTATTGTGGAGAAACTGCCACTATATCTGAGTACAATTTTTATTGTAAAATTCTGAAAAATTCAACTATAGATGAGGAGTCTTTATAGGTTTTAAGATGAATAGTGCTATTTTGGCTAGATAAATTTGCCATTAAGTATTTAACTAGCTAGGTGTCTGGTAGAACAACTTGCTGCTATACATTTTTGTCGTTCTGTAAAAATAAAGGTTGGAGGGTTTAATATTCAATTATTTGTCCTATCTTGTAATTATAAATTTGTTATCAATTTAAAAGACTGACTCAACAAGTAATTTGTAGAATGACTAAGGAAGGTACATAATTTTTTGATAAGAAACTATAACTTTCGTATGAAGTAAAAAGATTAGTAGCTACAATCGTGGACCAAGTGTATCCAAAAAATGAAAAAACCAAGAAAAGGAAACAAATCTACAGATATGGTAGCAAGTAAGCATCCCTCCCTTGGACAGAATCCCAAAAACGCATCATTAACCTAGAAGCCCTCCCAATTGAGATGAATAAAGAAGAAAGAAGAAACTCTATCCCACAACCTTCTATTTCTTTATTCTCAATTCTCTCCAGAAAGAGATTATTTGTTTTACCCAAATCACCCTCAGAAGTCAGAATAGCTGAAGCAATGCATCTCCATAGAGTTCTAGCTTCTCACATGGGACTCTTCTTTTTTCTTTTTTCTTTTTTTTTTTGGATCGATTCACTTGTCTTGCCTTGAACCTAAGCCAACACGAAGCTTTGGATCTTAGATGGGATTTAGTCTTCCAAATCACATTGAAATGGTTGAAACTATCAATGGTGAATCATCAATCAACCAATTAAGATAAAGAATGACGAGTTGATGCTCGAGGCCTCAAGCTTCCATACTCTTTCATCTTTCTTCTTTTTATCAAATTTTCACACTGTTAATCACCTCCAAAAACCTTATGCACTCTTGTATTTCCCTTGAATTCATGTTGCTTGAAGTTCAGATTCCAATTCGAAACTTGAGTAGGAGAGAATACCGCAATATTGAAAATAAAAATACTTTTAGTGTGGCAGAAGCTAGGATCAATAATAAGTTGGATGTATGTAAAATGATGATATTAGTTTGAAGTACCTGTTCTACATTTTAATTTAGTCACTTAAATTGGTTAAAAGTGAATGTCCATTTCTTGGATGCTTATGGTTTTCTCATAATTAACATATGTCAAATAAGGTTAGCTGAAACCGATTTTGGGGGATTGGTTGTTACTTGTTTTTAGTTCAATTTTTAAACTTTTACTGGTCATTATCATCTGGTTATAGCCTCCATTGTAAACTCATCGGTCTAACAAAAGCTTTCCAGAGTTAGTTCTAACTACTTGTTGATTATTCCCAATTCAAATAATAGGAATACGTAGCATCTTAGTGATGGCAACACTTGCCAATCAAATTGTCATCTTAAGCATTGATTTTAATACAATGTCAACAAATGCATCATACCAATGTCTTTGATATGATGCTTTTGATATCTTTCTTTCAGGTTCATTTAAGGAGGGTGATGCACAGAGACAGATTCATGAGAAAGAGTTCCATTATTCCTGCGATTGGAAATCGCATCTGGAGAGATCTGATTCATAATCCTTTGCATTTGATATTTTCAGTAGACGTGCTGGGAATGGCAAGTTCAACATTGGCTTCTCTTAGTAAAGGATTTGCGGAGCTTTCGACTGATGGACAGTTTCTGCAATTACGTTCAAAACAGGTGATAAATCTTTCACTTTTTCTACGTTAATAACCATAATGCTATATTCTAAATTAGGGAATAAGTTTTTAACATGGGATCAGGTGTGGTCAAGGAGAATCACTGGAGTAGGTGATGGAATCATTCAAGGAACAGAAGCTCTTGCCCAAGGTGTTGCTTTTGGGGTATCTGGAGTTGTGACAAAGCCAATGGAGAGTGCCAGGCAGAATGGTCTATTCGGACTTGCTCATGGGCTTGGTCGCGCGTTCCTAGGTTTTTTTGTACAGCCAATGAGTGGGGCATTGGATTTTTTCTCATTGACTGTTGATGGCATAGGTGCAAGTTGTTCTAAATGCTTAGAGGTTCTTAATAACAAAACTACCTCCCAGAGGATCAGAAACCCCCGGGCTATCCGTGCTGATGGTGTACTTAGAGAATATTGTGAGATGGAAGCTCTTGGTCAGGTACAACCAATTTATAAATGTGTTCAATTTGTATTCGTAAATATTTGCTAGTTCTTCAGTTCTGGGAAATGTATGACTGATTTTTCACTTAAAGTTGTTCATTTCTCTCTTTTGGCTTCCAGATGATACTTTACCTTGCAGAAGCAAGTCGGCAGTTTGGCTGTACTGAAATATTTAAGGAGCCGTCAAAGTTTGCTTGGTCTGATTATTATGAAGAGCATTTTGCTGTGCCTTACCAACGAATTGTTTTAGTTACTAATAAACGAGTCATGCTGTTGCAGGTTAGTGAGTAATAAGATTAGCTAGTAAATTTATTTCATACTTGTCATGATACATGCATTTTTTTGTTTTTGTTTTCTTAATTCTGCTTTTCTGCTGTATCCAGTGTCCAGCTCCTGAGAAAATGGATAAAAAACCTTGCAAGATCATGTGGGATGTCCCATGGGAAGAGCTCTTGGCAGTTGAGTTGGCAAAAGCTGGCTGCCAACAACCTTCTCACTTGATCTTGCATCTCAAGACTTTTAGGCGATCAGAAAATTTTGTTAGGGTTATAAAATGCAATGCTGACGAACCTGGGGAGAGAGAACCCCAAGCTGTTCAGATCTGTTCAGTGGTGCATAAGATGTGGAAAGCATACCAGTCTAAAATGAAAAGCCTAAAACTGAAGGTTGTTGCTGTGCATAATATGTATAGCTTTTTAGATGTCATACATAAAGTTCTGATAAGATTCCTCAATGCACAGGTACCTTCAAGCCAAAGACATGTGTATTTTGCCTGGAGTGAAGCTGATGGGAGAGAATCACGGACATCAAATAAAGCTTTTATTAAATCTAGAGAATTCTCATCATCCCGTTCTGCATCTGATGAAAGGAGATTTGTTAAACATGCCATCAACTTCCAGAAGATCTGGACCAGTGAGAGAGAATTGAAAGGTCGATGCACGTTGTGTAGAAAGCAGGTGCGTAACTGCTTACCTTGATTTACTTTTTCCTTCCTTTTGTTATTATTGTCTTTTTTTAGTAATGACATTTTAATTTCATGGTGCACATTGAGGTTTAGGTTCGTCTATGTTGGTCTTAAAGCAAACGTCTTTATCTTTTTTTCTTTTTCCTTTTCTTTCTTTTAGGTTTCAGAAGATTGTGGAATATGTAGCATTTGGAGACCCATTTGTCCAGACGGGTAATTACTGATTTTTTCTTTTGTAGCCTTCCAACCCCCTCCTAGCCCTTCCCTGTCCCCCTCTTTTATTTCAGTTGTTTCATATTATGGTTCATTGGAAGCTTCAACATATATATTCCATGATTGTAAACTTAAACAAAGTTCATTTCCTTCAGGTATGTTTCTATTGGAGATATAGCTCGTGTTGGAAGCCACCCCCCAAATGTGGCTGCTGTTTACCGTAATGCTGACAGACTGTTCGCGCCTCCAGTGGGTTATGACCTGGTATGAAATATAAATGCAGTTAGTAAATTTGCTTTTCATTGTACTATCCGTGTGCTTGTGTTGTTAAAATTGTAGAATGATGAACAATTCATCTTAACTTTTGATGCAATCAGAGAGGGGATGATTCTCCTGTATCATATCCATTAAAGTAAAAACAAAATAGAAAAGGAGCTGTATTCCTCTCATTGCCAAGGCCCTATGGCCAACATATCTTTCACATTTTATTTCTAGTTTACTTCCCTATCTACACTATCCAAACGTCAGTTATGGCAGTCAATTATTGAAATTGTTTCGTTTCTTTCATGTTTTGCTACAAATTGATATGTTAACAACTACCATGCATTGTGATTTGATCTCGATGGACATCAAGTTGGTTTGATTTATTTGAAAAGCATAACCACTAATCGTTTCATGCTTTGTGCAGGTGTGGAGGAACTGTGCTGAAGACTACACATGTCCTGTATCGATTTGGCAACCTCGTGCTCCGGAGGGATATGTCTCTCTCGGATGTGTTGCCGTAGCAAATTTTGAAGAGCCAGAAGCTAGTTTAGTATACTGTGTGGCAGAATCACATGCCGAGGAAGCAGTTTTTGAAGATCAAAAGGTGTGGTCTGAGCCAGAATCATACCCGTGGACTTGTCATATTTATCAAGTTCGAAGTGACGCCCTTCACTTCGCTGCTCTTAGACACAACAAAGAAGAATCTGACTGGAAGCCCATGCGAGTTCTTGATGACTCACAGTCGTCTCTACTGCAAACTTCGGGAGCTAATAATTCTGAATAGCCCCCTTCAATTTTCTTCTATGATATTTTTCTGTTATAGTTTATCAGAGAATGAGTTGGAGTTGAACATCCTTTTCTTCCAATGGAACCCCGGTAAATTCTTGATTTGATTCTCGTATAAGTGACTACCCGAGTGTACAAAACATTTTGTAGAAATGTAATGGAAAAACCTTGTAAGTGTCATTATTTGATACGTTATCTATTCCTCTTTGGTTGTGATTAATTATGATATTAAAATGTTTTATTAATTACTATGAAACATAGAACGCATAGCATAGTGTTAATATGATCGTGAATATTATTAACAAAAAAAAAAAAAAAAAAAAAATTTGTATAAGGAATGATAAATTGATAATCAGAGATTCAATATTAGTAAAAGGCCAGGTAATGAATGACCACAAAATCTGTCGGCAAATGAGTGAAAAAAGTAAAGGCCACGTAATGCACTTTATATATTATTTACCAAAGTTGCCATTACCCGCCATTATTAACTTTATTCAACTGCCTTTCAAGCTCATTTATTTCATTTATACACACTCTCACTTGCCATAAGTCTCTCTCCCTTAACTCTTTTCATTTCTATCTTTCTCCTTCCGATCCGATTCTATAAACAAAATGGACGGACTGATTAAGGGCTTGGTCGACGTGGCCCTTGGTGGTGGTCATGATCGCGACAGAGAGGAAGAAGAACAATCCCGGGATGTGCGGTCCAGATCCAGTTGGGCGGAGGTTAGCACCACTTGTTATAACTCTTGATTTGCAGTTGGATCATTGATCTTGATAGGGCCTAAAATGGGCAGGTGGTTTCTGGAGATCAGGATGATGATGATGATGATGATGAAGAAAGACGCCATAATCAGTGGAGCAGACAGGTTTTAGTTTTTGACTTTTGTTCATTCGATTTTGTTTAATTTTAAAATTAAAGTGAAATTAAAATGTGCAAGTGATATATGCAGGAACAGAGTCGAACCCAGAAGGTAAATCTTCTATCTTTTTGGTTTCGTTTATGAATGATTTTGTCTCTTTCAGTTTCAATTTCTTAGTGTCTAAGAAAGTATCAAAGAATTTATAAATGATTTTGTCTCTCCAACTTTGAAATTCATTGTGTTCAATTTTATAGCGTCTAACAAAGTATCAAAGAAAATGTCTGAAATTTTTGTAATGTAAAAGTGGAGCCTAATCAACTAATTGATTAAATTCAAACAATAACTCTGGATTTACAACGGTCAATCCTTACCATCTCACGTTATAGTAGTTCTTGGTTTCCGCTACAAGTTCCGGAGTAGAGACTCAACTCTTAATGACTGTGTTTTCTTCATCATCTGAAATACAGGCTGTTCATGGAGGATATGAAGAGAACGAAGGTTGTCAGCGACAAGATTTTACCCAGAACAACTGGAACAGAGAGGTTATTACTGAATTTTACTTCTTGGTTTTGAATTTCTAATGTTATGAAATTTATTTGCAAAGGTTTTAAATATTTTCTATGGCATTTTAACTTTTAATACAGGAGAAGAAAGAGGAGAATAATGATGGTTGGGAAACTGTTGGCAGAAAGCCTCCAAGGCGACCACACAAGGTAGCCATTCTTACTAAGTCATCAAATGTCAAAACATGCACATGAAAATATGTTATGGGTCCTTGATCGAATCTCTTGGATGCAATATTTCCCATAGTCCAACACAATATCTTTGGTCTTAAGATTTTTTTATTCTTGGAACTAATGTTTTGCAAAATTGTCCCATTTCTCTGAAGCAACAGATTGGTGGTGGTGGTGTTTGATTAATATTTGGTATATAGATGGAACAGTATCAGACTATCATTTCTTTTGCAAATTGAGTTAGCCTGCTATATAGTTACTATTTCTCGTTGGTGTATTCAACCAAATTTTAGATATTGTGTTAGGATTGGTTGTAAACTGTTAACAAGTGTTCTGCAGGTGTGAACTGAATTTTATATTATTGAAACTCAGTTTATCTGATTTCTATGTTTGTGTTAGATATATTAGTTTGTGCTTTCTTGTTTAGATTGTTTGATGTGTAATATTGGAAGATTGTGAACTATGAGCTCTCTTAGATGAATCTCAATATGAGCTTTATCTGATAGTAATTAAGAATGTTCTTGCCTTTTAATAATCATCATCTGATCGATACATTGGAAGCTATGCCTGAACAGGTTGAGAAGGATCAGTGGCATGGATACAAAAAGCCTGCTAGTGAGCAACAGTACTCTGATGAGGTTGAAATTAGTAGTAGCTTAGAACCCTCAGATGAGGAGCTTGCTGACTTTTCACGAGCCTGTGACAAGCTTTGGGAACTTGACTTAAATCGTTTGAAACCTGGTAAGGACTATGAGATTGAGTGTGGTGAAGGGAAGAAAGTCTACCAAAAAGAGGATATGGCACAAGGAAACTTAATTAACTGGCTGAGTGAAGACGTGTTCAGGAAGCCTACTTTTTCTCGTTTTTGTTCACTTTTAGATAATTACAACCCAAATCAAGGGTGTAAAGAAGTTGTCACTTCAGAAGAGAAGCAAGAGCAAGCTGCATTCATAGAAGAAATCTGTAGAACTGCACCAATTAAATATCTTCACAAGTATCTCTCCTCCAAGGGCATTGTATCTGGGAGTTATCAAGATTTCAAAAGAACAATGACAAGTCTCTGGTTTGATCTTTATGGCCGAGGTGGTACATCTGGTTCCTCTTCTGCTTTTGAGCATGTTTTTGTGGGAGAAATCAAGCAGAGCGGTGAACAAGAAGTTTCTGGCTTTCATAACTGGCTTCAGGTTAGTGTCTTGTAAGTTGTAACTACTTTCACTCTAGAAGGCAATAAGAAATATTATGAAATTTAATAGTTCAGTAATTACAATAATATCCCATTCTCTCGTATATACAAATTATTCAAAATGCTGTTGTAAATTGTAACTGTCGTGTATTAAACTTACCTTTGTCGTTTTCCCCACAGTTTTATCTGGAAGAAGCAAAAGGGAATGTGGATTATCAAGGTTACATATTTCCCCGACGTCGTGGACAGATTGTAAGTTCTTTTCTTTCTCTTCCACTTGGCTTGCTTTTATGTGAAGACACGGATCATAAAGTTAACTTGAAGTGCACAAATAGTACATGCCCGACTTTTCTTATTTTTTCACTTCAGTTATTTTTGTCTATAGCCTAATGCACCATGTCATCAAATCTGCAAACATTGCTGTTTTCATATTTTTTTCATTTTCCTTTGCTCCCTGTGATCTCTTGCAGCCAGATTCTGAAACTCAGTTGCTTACAATTCAGTTTGAATGGAATGGCGTTCTTAAATCTGTATCAAGCACATTGATTGGAGTGAGCCCCGAGTTTGAAATTGCCTTGTACACCCTATGCTTATTTCTGGGTGGAGAGGATAACCACATACAGCTGGGTCCATACCCTGTTAATATCAAGTGCTACCGACATAGAGACAGAATAGGCTCTGTGTTTCCTGTGGCAGAGTGTTGAATTCAGGTCTCCTGTAAGCTTGAGTGTTGATGAATTATTATGTCCACAAGTCATAGAAATTATGAGACTCTGCCAAAGCGCTGAATTAACTAAAAATATTATGAAACAATCATTGATTAGGATAATAAAGAGACCTATTGTTATATTTAAGGGGTATTTCTCAGCAATCAGCATTTCCATAATATTTCAATTAGATAGTTAGCGGTTCCGGTACATGCTTGTGTAATATCGGGCTGTTAGTTCCTCAAAATAAACATTGTTTTGTTAATTTTCGCCGCCATTTTTGTGTTCAGTGTGGTTTATTGGTGATCATACATGTTCTTATCTTTTAGAACTATTTTCTTGTGGCTTCAGGGTACCAATGATCTGTAGAGGATATGCTTTATTCTTTTTTGTCAGTAACATGATCAACGTAAAGCAAGAAACTTAGCCCAAAATTTAAGGTGAAGATAGATATTTTTTTCATTTTCTGCTTCAAATATAAGATATTTTATTATTGTTTATAGTTTCAAAATTGAGTTAGACAATTGGCAAACGGAAACTTATATAGGGTGAAACAGACATCTGAAAAGGACGGGGTTGATACAAAGAAGCTTCATACGAGGATTTTGACGATCACTTTAAATGGCAAGTGTCCTATAAGCAGCCATTGCCATTTTTGTTTGAAAATATCTAATTGAAGTTGATAAGATATTCTCATTGGTGTTCTCATATAAACCAGGACAAGTAAAATTCTATACTTGGTGCTTATCGCATAAAGATTTTTTACTTCTATGGACATTCGCAGTATCTGCTTGGAATTGGATAATTATTTTCGCTATTTTGAATTGGAACAAATCAGAAACCTTAGAATATTGAACAACATTTCCAATCATATAGAGAAGATGGTGCCATTTTAGAATGTATGTGTATGACAAATACACTTTCCTGGAAGCTTAAACTGACTTTAGGTTAAAGAAAAGTTATGATGGCTCATGGCCTACGTAAAAGAAAAGGGGGTGTGGGGTTTCAGCAATGGAGAACCACACCCAAAAACTCTTTTAACATTTCATTTGGAAATTTAAATTCTAGTGATTGGGGTTGGGGACCAATATCGCTAGCTGACAATAATCAAGTGTAAAACAGCCAGCAAAAGTTTTGGTCAGTCTTCAAATGCACCGCATGGATCTTGGTAGATTCCCCGAGACGTTACCCGCTACAGAAAGAGACTAGTATCTATCTTTTCTTTAAACCATTCTTCTTTTAATTTTAAGTAAGCATCATACAATTTTTTAATTAAAGACAATGCCATAATGTAGTAACACCTTTTTGAGAACATATATAAGAAACCATCTATGAAGATGACAACATCAATCTTCCTTGTTAAACCGTTAATCATTTTCACTTTTTTGGTATTGAAGAGATAAGATTTAATTTCCTCCGCAAAACCATGTAACGGTAGCTACTTACCCATTCAAAAAGCTAAGATCAATAACGACCAAACTATCTCTGTCTAACCAGTTTTCATAGATTCGGAATTATCTTTTCTTAAGGACCCACTTCTTCTCTACACCTCATTTCTCTGGGGGCATATGTACACACCTGACTTCCTACTTCTAAGATATATAAAATTTGATAAAACATCTGGTTTAATGACTTTAATTTCTCATGGAGCAATAATTGGTGTTTGGATATACTATAAAGAAAGAAAATTCCTGGAAATTAATAGAGACACGTTATTGTTACCACCACACAACAGAAAAGAGTGTTTCTTATCCTAAGCCGACCTAAACCAAGAGCATTTTTAATTATATCCTATCCTCTCGGAATTTGTCAGCCACATAAATTCAGTACTGTAGCTAGGAGACATACATTCACTAATTTAAAATTAATCTTGATTGATACAATAGTCCTCTAATCCAAGATATTTCTACCTTCAATAATTCAAGTCTTAAACCCAGATAATAGTTACAGGAAGGATTTTGTACATTGCATGCATGATCGCGTATATACCCTTGGATCAAACGCCAACAATCGTGGACGATTTCTTCAGTTGGATAAGACTGGGAACAACCGCGTCAAGCGAGTGTGGCTCATTTTTAAAGGTAAGAGCGCACTAAACTTGTCTCCTTCAGGAGAAAAAGATCATCAACACTATAAATAAACGAACACAATCTTCATTCATTCTTCATCTCACCCTTCAAACCCATATTCAAAAAATATGACTTTAACTCTACGTTCTTCCACTTCTTTTATCAATCTTAAAGACACCAAAACCCTCAAAACTCCTGACGAATTCTCTACCGTAATTTGCTCTGCCAAAATCAAACCTTCATGCCGTCTCCGGGCTAAGAGTTCAATGCAAGAAACACAACTCTCGCGTGATAAACAATTAACTAAACAAGGGTTGGGGAGAAGCGAGATAAAGGAGAAGCTCCATGAGCTTTCTGTTGCTCATCAGAATGGAAACGACTCGAGCGTGCCTGTGTTTGTGATGCTTCCACTGGACACGGTAACTCAGGGGGGGCATTTGAATAAACCGAGAGCAATGAATGCTAGTTTGATGGCGCTAAAAAGTGTAGGGGTTGAAGGTGTAATGGTTGATGCTTGGTGGGGTTTGGTGGAGAAAGATGGACCTTTAAAATACAACTGGAAAGGGTATGCAGAGTTAATACAGATGGTTCAAAAGCATGGCTTGAAGCTCCAAGTGGTTATGTCTTTTCATCAGTGTGGTGGGAATGTTGGAGACTCTTGCAGGTATGTCAAGATCTATTTTTTCTTAATTTATTAAGATTTTAATGTTTAATTTTCTTGGTTGCTGATTTTTTTAATTGTCGTTGATTAATAGCATTCCTCTACCACCATGGGTGCTTGAAGAAATCAGCAAGGACCCTGACCTTGTATACACAGACAGATCGGGACGACGGAATCCTGAGTATATTTCATTGGGCTGTGACACGATTCCGGTCCTCAAAGGAAGAACGCCCATTCAGGTTTATTCTGACTTTATGAGGAGCTTCCGGGATACATTCAGAGATTACTTGGGAAGAGCTGTTGTGGTAAGCAGCTATTTTCTCTATATCCTATCTAATTTTTTTGTCTTGTGATGCTTCTTTATGGAACTCAACAAAACCTGAAGTAACATGTCTTAAATGGAACAATTAATTAAATATCAAAACTATCTCAGTTTTTTTTTTTTTTTTTTTTTGAAAAATAAAAAGGAGAACGGTCAACCACAATAAAATAAATATTTTGGATAAGGGTATGTAAGAGTAAACCATCCACTGTCTCATTCCATCTAAGAGTATTTCTCTGCACAGATCAAACTACTGAATTGATAAATCAAGCTCATTTTTGGAACAGAAATCTAGCAATTAAATTCATTTGGCAACCCCCCTTTTATACTTCATCTAGGTTGAGAATATTGTAGCATGAGTACCACAGGAGATGAGATGAACAAAAATATATCATACCAAAGAGGAAGAATATTGAGAAAATGCAAAAAAAAAACGTGAAGCAACCATTAAAAAATATGTGGTAGGTCTTTCCAAAATATATCATACTAAAGAGGAAGAATATTGAGAAAGCAAAATTAAAATGTAAAGCAACCATTCAAAATTATGTGATAGGTCTTTCCATTGTATTTCCAATAACAGAAGTTTCTTGAACTCATTATCGATTCCTGTTGCAGGAAATTCAAGTGGGCATGGGTCCTTGTGGGGAGCTGAGATACCCATCTTATCCAGAAAGCAATGGGACATGGAGATTCCCCGGAATTGGAGAATTCCAATGCTATGACAAGGTGTGTTGCAATAATGAAACACCATATACTCGAATTGGAGAATTTAATAACAGATTCTATTTGAATTTAAAATTAACAAGCTTCTATGTTAAAACAGTACATGCGAGCTTCATTGGCAGCATCAGCAGAGGCGTCTGATAAAAAGGACTGGGGAAGAAGTGGGCCGCACGATTCTGGGCAGTACAATCAATTTCCTGAAGATACAGGCTTTTTTCGGAGAGATGGTACCTGGAACTCCGAGTATGGACAATTCTTCTTAGAATGGTACTCTGAGAAGCTACTAAAGCACGGCGATAGAATTCTAGCAGCTGCAAAAGGAATATTTCAAGGAACTGGTGCAAATCTATCTGGAAAAGTAGCTGGAATTCACTGGCATCACAAAACAAGGTCTCATGCGGCTGAATTAACTGCTGGGTACTACAATACCAGGCATATAGATGGTTACCTACCAATAGCACGAATGTTCAGTAAACATGGATTTATATTGAACTTCACCTGCATGGAAATGAGAGACAGAGAACAGCCTGATCATGCAAATTGCTCTCCAGAAGGGTTAGTTCGGCAAGTAAAGATGGCAACGAAGACTGCTGGAACAGAACTTGCTGGAGAGAATGCCCTGGAAAGGTATGATGCAAGTGCATATGCACAAGTTATGACAACAAGTAGATCAGATTCTGGCAACGGATTGAGTGCATTTACATATCTAAGAATGAATAAGAAATTGTTTGAGGGGGACAACTGGAGAAATCTGGTGGAGTTCGTGAAAAGCATGTCCGACGGCAGTAGGAGAACCAGACTTCCAGAATGTGATTCAATTGGGAGTAACCTTTATGTTGGTTTTGTTAAAGAAAAGAAGGAGAAGAAAATCAAGGAAGCTGCTCTTGTGTAACAAGCATTTTCATGCTGTAATATAACAGTACATAGTGTATCATAATATGGAGAAAATAGAACATTGCGGTAGCTATACACCATAAGAACTGCAACCATCTCCAAACCATGAATGGAGAATTATCTTTATAAGCTAATATACTTTCAGTCCGGTTTATAGGCATGATAATAGTCTATATATCGATGAGATTTAGGTGTGAGATTGAATAGATTCATTGTGTATCAAACAATATCCAATAGAATTTTGTTCTTCTCAAAATATTGTATTTTTCGAAATAAAGGCATTTATGGCTTTCAACTCATTCTTTATTCTATATAATCAATAGTGATGATGTTCAAACACTACTTAAAACTCAAGTGATCAACTGATGCAACTTCGAGAGCATCACCTTCAAAGTACTCAGGGTTGGCAATCCTCTTATTCGAAAATTAATAAATTCCTGGAATCAATTATACCAAATATGTTGTCAAAAACACTATAATTGGAAGTCATTGGACCCATAATACAGTTAAAATTTTTAGCACTCACAGCTAATTGCCAACAGGTCTTAAGATCAACAAAATACAAACTTCCCAGGAAAAGGAGAAGAAATCTGCACCATTATCAAAATGCTATGGTTTGATGACAACCATTTACAGAAAAAACACATCCTCAGTAATGGACAACGTAATGTAAGAATCCATTAAAAATATGGTGCAAGAAATCGGCAATGGAGCAGCTTTTAGAAACCTCGGCAATGAGTTTGATTCAGTTCAACACTTAATAGTGATTGGCGACAGTTCCATTCTTTCTCTCCACTTCTTACTGACAACTTGATCCAAGCATCTGAATATGCCCAACCACCATGAAAATTCCACAGTTCAGAAATGGACCTAGATGATGATGCTGACTCAACAATTTTCTTTTTTGTGCAGAAACATCAAAATCAAGCGCTCGCAATTAATGGAAAAATTAAGTGTATTTTCCACCGTATAAGGTTTAGACAACCAAACAAACAATCCCGAAGCAAAAATTACAACTTTTTAAGAAATTCTCAGCAGAACTGCGATGCAGCTATTCTTTCAGTTAAAATGAAGTATTTGAAAATAAAGCAGGTAATAAAATACCGATTAAGAATGAGGAGGAGGAGAAGGTGAATCTCCTCGGCGAAGATCTTCGATTAATTTTTCCAGCTCCTTGCGAGCAGATTCTCTTCCGAACATGAATCCGTACCTGAAAATATTCAAATCACAAAAGTTAACAAATACAAGGAAATTTTGGTTGTAGTAAGAATCAGAATTAGGTATACCATCCGGAAACAGCAGAGAATGCAGCGGCAGAGGCAATTGTTTGAATCAGACTGAATTTTTTCTCCATTTTCAGAATTTATTTTGATTTCTGAGATATTCTTTTTAAGGTTTCTTCTAGGTTTTTGAAGGGCTTTGGCAAATTCAAACAGAACCCGGTCCTGCCCGGTATGATGGGTTGGTTCAGGGTTTAGTTTTGGACCGGATCAGCGATTCATTTCGAGTTAGTGAAGAAAAAACGACGTGTCGTCACTTCTCTTTTTTAACGTATTCTCATTAGCATATAGCATTGAAAACTGAACTGGATAGCCTGCTTTCAGCACCTACAGTTATTGTGCCCAAGAAAGTAAAAGAAAACAAAAAAGCTGTTTAAAATTTGTTATTCAAATGTCTGGCCAAGAACCCATATTGATGAACTGCATATTACTCACAATGGTTTGATTATTTTTCTTTATGCTCAAGTTCAGTCTTTTACCACTTCAATCACAAAATCTGGATACTGAGCTGTACCGCAACAAAGCAATGCTAATTAGGACCAAAAGTATTTTTGCTTAATGGTGGGGAATAAGAATTGGTGATTTATATTAGCATTTGAACTCATAAGAACAATGGTACAATCACCTCAATACAGTTTGGTATCATAATCCACAATTTACAAGCATTCTACATATGCATCAATACACCTTCCGTCTCACATCCTCTCTATGTTTTGAATTTATAAGATAGTATAAAAAAAGAATAAGCTGATTAATAACTAATAAGTAGGAGTAGGACCAAGGCATCGCATTGATTTCCACTAGTAGAATCAAACATGTATTTGAGGCCAACAAAATTCTGTTGTTCCTATTCCAGATGAATTTGCGGTGCATACCGACGAAAATTAGCTCTTTCCCATTTATACTAATATCCGAGAGTTTAAACCTGTCAGGTGCATCAAAACAAATTATCAGCATTAATATTCACAAGGCACCTGGCTCAAAATCACAAATATTCATTAATACCAACCTTATTTTGATCTTCGTGCTGTCAATTTAGATCTTGATGTAACATGATTATTGTTGGAAGAGTTTCCCTCTTCTGATTCTTGTATTGCTTGCTTTAAGCTCTCTACCACCTGATTCATTGTTGGTCGTTCTTCAGGAGTCTTCTTCAGGCAGCTGTCGGCCAATTTAGCAACTTTTCGAGCTGCACTGAAAGAATAGTTGTTTCTGAGTCGTGGGTCTATTATCATGCTGAACCTTTTACCATCAGCTGGGAATTGCTTCACCCAATCCAGAAGCTTCTGTTCCATTGTTGGTCGGTTTCTTTCCAGTGATCGCCTGCCGGTTAGGATCTCATAGAGCACCACGCCAAAACTCCAAATATCACTTTGAACTTTTAGGTGGCCTGTTTCAACATATTCTGGGGCAGCATATCCATATGTCCCAACAACCTGATGACAAATAGAAAACATAGACAACAAAATCATTAGCACAGTAGCCATTTAAATACAATTTAAATTGCAATTGAGCAACTAGGCAAGTCATGCTTCTCGCTATAGAATTTAAAGAAATCTATGGCTGAAACCTTAATGAGACTGTTGGCATCAGCTGGATAGGCACAAAACCAGTCAAGATAATGCTCGCCCTAACTTTGATTAAAAGCAAGGGATAACATCCATATAACTTTCCCGACTTCTAGATTCCTTACAAGCCTTTCCGTAAAGAAGGTTTTGGATGAACTGAAAAATCCGAGGTTTCTAAAAAAATTCAAAACCACCTGCATTTACTTATATTTAACCCAAAACTCGTATGACGTCAACCATTATTTGAATATTGTGGCTTAAATGATGGCTTTTCAGAGACAAAACGGCATTAATCAGACAAAATTAATCTTTCTAAGCCACTCAATGGAAAAGTATATGAGATGGTTTTGAAAACACTACATAGAATTAGCCACTTAGACAGCCACAGGAATTGCCATGCATATATCATCTATAACATGTACTTACCGCTGTTGAAACATGAGTACGATCCCCTGTTGGCCCTTCCCTGGCAAGCCCAAAGTCTGAGAGCTTTGGCTTAAAGTTTTCATCCAATAGCACATTTGAGGCTTTGAAATCTCGATATATCACCTAAGAATTAGTACAAGCAGCAGTGGTTAAAGACTCAAAACAGAATCAAAGTAAATTAGAACAATTCAATAAGAATGATAGGCAAATGGGAGATAGTGGATAAAGGATATTAGAATTCAGTGTAATAGTGATATCACTTTTCTACAGCATCAATACAACGAGTTACAAAACCTCTGAATTCCAACTTGCAATCTTTTGAAGATAATTCCATTTAACATGAGCACTTGAGAGAAAGTAAACACAATCATTCATTAAATAGACCGGAAATAGCAATCAAATGATAAGAATATTGTAACAGTGATATGTTTCTGGTGCCCAATAGTTAAAACCTACAAGTTAATCACAGAAGACATGAACTCAGATTAAAGTGAACAAGACTAGCACATTCAGATTTTCATTGCATACTCATGCGTAATTCAGTTTTGAACTCCAAAAACTTTGATAAGCAATAGTATGATCAGCTGAAGTCAGCCAAATCAAAGTGAAATCTACCTGGATTTCCAAACCCTCGTGTAAATATGCCAACCCTTGAGCTGCACCAAGGATAATCTCTAATCTTTTCTTCCAAGGCAGAGTGGGCAGAGCCCTGCTAAAAAGATGATCTTCTAAGCTTCTATTAGGCATATATTCGTATATGAGCAACCTTTGAATCCCTCTTTCATCATCTACACAACAATATCCTAAAAGTTTTACCAAGTTCGGGTGATTAACAACTCCAAGAAATAGAACTTCCGCAAGCCATTGCTTATGACCCTATATAAGAAATAAAATTAGTGTCGGGAATCCATGAAACGAAGTGCAAAGACTGTAATGCATTGATTACCCAAAAGGCAGAACGTAATGAAGAAACAAGTAACAATCATGGGAATAGATATCAATCAAAGCCAGAAATTCAGGCACAAGCCAATATTTTTAAGCAAGAGCTCCCTATACAACAGAAAAATCATTTGTGCTTTTGAAGTTATTCAGAAGATATATGGCAGTGCATGCCTCACTTTTCTGTGCAGTTATGCATACCAAGTGTGTCATGAAGCATATAGAGCAGCAGCCAGATATCATACTCAGCAGTTATCAGAACTGGTTCAAGAACACAGAAATGACTCACTAGCTAAAACTGACAATTTTGTAATATGATCTATGAATAGCATACATTAAGGCAAAAAACTAAAATTGATTACTCAAACCAAAGGAAAGATGAACTGGGGGAGATGGGATCAAAGTTATATCTGAACAAAACAAGGCAAATGCCTGGGTCAAAATTCTATTTGTTTTTCATTGCGTGTGAAGAGAATCTATTTCATCCACATGTCCAAGATTCATATCCAACCAAGAACAGAAAGCGGCTACATCTTTTACGATGGTTGCTCCAACTGTACAAGATGGATGAGTGCCTTATTTTTCTTGTCATGATACTTTCTGCATGACTGCATCATTAGAAAACAACACTCAATACATTGCATTCAAGAATTTGATATTCCTGAAAATAAACTCATCAAGATCTTTCTACTCTTTATTTTAGCATAAATCTGTTCTCAGCATTCAATAGCAAGTTTTAGTTTACAGTGGTGACATAGTTATAGCTCATAACTGTCAATCCACAATTACAACTATCACAAATGGTTGCATTATCCAAGCAGAACATCTCTTAATGCTTGTTAAATTGGTACTGTAATTAAACTTTTATACCTACTTATGATAATTCACAAAATTTTACAGATTTTTTCCAGTATTCAAATAACCTTTTTTACTTTCTAATGAAGACCAAGTACAATGAACAAATATCAACACAGGACACAAGATCAAACCTCAACAATAAGTGCAAGGGTGCACATTTCCGAGTGCATACCCCACATTTTAGAAGTGGTATGCAGACCACTAGACATTACATGAACAAAAGGTCGAATTAGACACTTCCTAGGTTTTGAGTCTTTCATCTCTGTTCTTGATGGCAGATTTTCTTCCCCATTCATAATAATCTACCTCGAAATTATATGTTTTCAATATTAAAGGTATTTCAATTGAAAATATTTCACTGCTCCGATAGAAGGTCACCAAGCATAAGAAAATCATAAAATTTCTCCCCCTGCCTAAAACTAGACTGTAATTCTCTCTTGATTCCTGAATTTTTTACACTATCCAACACAAGGTAATTCAAAACTCAAATGCACCATAGTAAGATCAACACAAGACTGTTATGACCTTACTCCAGTCAGTTACTGTAAATTCAAGTCATATTCATGTCAGCCACAAGGTCTCATCATAGAGATCAACTACTATGAAAAAGGAAGAAAAATAATTGACTGCAGCAGGAAATAATTCAAAAATAAATTATGCAATAGACAGTATCTTAAGCACAAGATTATTGAAACTAGAAGCCTGTACCTGCAAACCATGCCTGTTGAGCTTTTTAATGGCAACATCAATAGGGTCACCCTTACCATCGGCGGGCCTGATCTTTCCCTTATACACACTCCCAAAACCACCTTCTCCAATCTTTAACATCCTGTTAAACCCATTTGTTGCCTCTCTCAGTTCTTGCAAAGAGAAGACTGTCAAATTGTGCTCCTTCTCTTTGTACAATTCAGGTATGCTTCTTGGAGATGGTAATGATCTTGTTGTACGATTAAGCTCTGAATTTTCTAATTTACTTGGGCTTCTTGGTTCTGGGGCAGATTTTGATTTTCGATTGGTCTTGAATTTGTCCTTGAAAATATAAAAGCACTTCATTATGCAAGCTATCAAAATCAAATTTCTTCAATCTCAAGCGTTTGCAGCAGCTTCTTATGTTTGTATTATAATGATCCTTAACAATCAAAATCAAATAAGACCACTCAATCCGTAAAGAAATTGAAGAAACGAAGGCAAAATAACATATTTATTCAAAAGGAAGCAAAAGAGATGAACCCAGATGAGAAGTAAACCGCGTGACCAGAACAAGCAAAACCAAATGAGAATTTCAGAAAAGAAATAGAGAAAATAATGGAAAAACCGTGAAGTTAAATATATTAAGAGACTTTTAGTAGATGCACATAGTCTGAACAAGAAAGATCAAGATGGGAAAGAGAAGAGAAACACAGTAAAATGTGGAAAATAATCAAATATTGAATAGGCATAGAGAGAGATAAAAGTTGCGTGTATGAAAACCAAAACTAAGGCGTTTGACAGAGACAGGACAGAACTGGATTGACTACTTGATCAAAGTCGAAGAATACTGTTCTCTTTCTTTAATTATATATAAATTTTTTTTTTTTTTTTTTCTGAATGTTTATTTACAATAAAGAAGACTATTGACCATTTGTATAGGAACCTGGAACTGTGGGCGGTTAAAGAAGATGACACTGATGACTGAACCTTAAAATATATGGTAAAAGGAGAGAGAAAGGAGAAAAGCACTTAACAAAAGAGATAAGGCAGAGAAATATTCAGTCTTCTCATCTATATGCGTCAGCGTCTATTTAAGGTTGATGACTGGTGCATGAGGTACGGCGAGCGGAGACTAAAGGGAAAACAAAAACAAAAACAAAAGCATGAATGAGACTTCTATTCTCGATTTCCAGCTAGCTTTCAATTTTCTGCATCAATGCTGACAATTATATACCGTGTAAGGAAATAATTAAAAATTTCTCTTGATTTGAATATATGAATTTTACTTCATCTTCCTTCTTTGTCTTGTTATAAATGTGGGGATGAATTATGACTAGTTCATTTAAGTTTCTGCATGACCGAATATTATTAAAAATATATATACGTGTCATCAAATGAATGAATTTATGTTTAGTTGCTTTTAAAGGAGAAAAGCTTGTAATAATAAAATATTGGTGTGACAATTCTCCTCTGTTGCACGCGTTACCTTTCTCTCTTAAATTAACAGTTCATGTATGAATTTGAGAAAGACGAAAGAATAAGAATATTAATTAAATATTGAGTGGGAATAAAGAGTTAAATATTACTTTGTTTTCTGTAATGTGAACAATCTGCATTTGGTCGTTGATAAACAAAAAGAGTTTTCATTGACATGTTAAGACCCTAGATTTTCGCAGCTAATTCTTTTTCTTCAATAATTTAACGAACAGGCTTTCCATCCATGGACCCCTTTTGCCTCGGCTCTACTTTCTTAACCTGATCGTGACACTACCTTTTAATCTTTTGGCAGTTTCGCGGATGTTGTCAGAATGAACGCGTTAAATTCAGGAATCCCATGCCATGTTTCTTCAACTTTTGGACGAGTCTGAATTTTCTGGTCTTACCAACTCATCGGGAAAATGAAATTCTGGACCTCACCCTGAAAAGAAAAAAGAAACGACCAGATTAGATTAGATGGGAATTACGTCCATTTTGCCTTAAGCCTCACAAATTTGCTCATTACCTCTCTCTTTCTCTCTAGGATTTAACACCCTTTCTCAAAACTCTCTTAATATAATACAAAGATTTCAAGGTTTAAAAAATTTCATCGTAGACTAAAAATCACGATTTCTTTGCTACAATAAATTAGCTACTGGAATTCAATAACAAACTATCTTTGCTTCAACGAACTTGTACCGAGACATTCGTTATAGCGAATCTTGAAATTATGCTTAATTTCATTGCACTTGAATTCGGCTCCACAACTTAACGTCAAGTGAATTAACCTGTGTTTTTACTAACCAAACCCAGCAACATTGTAGGACGAAGTTTCTTGGACAACTTACAATGTAAAACCAGAAGATCATTTGCTTGGATTTTTATTTTTTTTCAAACTTTTCCATGAACATGTATTGGTCAAGACTTTAATTAAGTGAGAGGGAGAAAAAGGTTTTAATTATTGATTTCTTGCCACTGTAAATGGCAGATGAAACAAATATGTCAAGTTGTCCATAATTAGGGGCAAGGAGAGTCAAATCAAACTTTGGACTTATCACTTATCTTTAAATTTTGAGGCATTCAATGTATTAGAACACAGCAGTTGACACAAGTTCAACGAAGATATGAAAATGAATCGAAAGAAAATCATTTATAGATTTTACACGTTTTGCCCCTAACCATAATTTCATTAATCATTAATATAGTGAATGTCATTTTCCCACCCAAGGTTTGTCATAATTACATTTTTCTACCCATGAACTTTGAGAAAAAAAAATTCCCCATCCATATTTAAGATTGCGTCTGTTAACTTTAATTACATAAGGACATGATGGTAAATTAACTAAAAGCTGAAAAAATCAATGAATTTAAAAAAATTTATGTCTTGGTCTATGTAGCGAAGCTTCCCAAGGATGCTTCACCTCAATGCTTGACACGTGTCCTACTACTATTGACCTAACGAGACAAAAAGAGAAAACGCAAGTCAGAGAACATTTTTCCATTGCTCTAAACTAAACATTAACAAGTAAAAAAAAAAAAAAAAAAATGGTAGGAAGCGACTGTAGTGGACAAACAGTGACTGGATGACGACTCATCAAACATCGAATCTTAGGGACGAAGGCTAACTATGGTTACTATTAAGGATATAGAAGGATCCGCAAGATCCTCCTCAAACCATGCTGTATTTTTTATCAAACCCAATCCCATAATTCTAGACAATCCCTTGATTATAGACAATAGCTATAGATGGAAATGTTGACTCTACACATAAATCATCCTGCTGTAATATTGCTCTGTATATTCTATAAATGAAACGTGCACCACCAGACAACTTCATGGTGATTTTTCAAACCTCGTCATGGTATTAGTAGTCCTCTAAGGATTCACCTCCGTCGATCTAAATGGCCTCTGAAACTCCGTCCCCTACCCTGTCTTTCAACACCATGGTCCACCTCTTGACCATCAAGTTATCTTCTTCCAACTTTCTCCTCTGGCGTAGTCCAGTTTTGCCATTACTGTAGTGTCAACATCTCCTTGGATACGTTGATGGCTCCATCAAACCTCCTTCTACAACTATCAGTTCTGGTGCCTCTGCGCATTTGCTCAATGGCAACAGATCGATCAACTTGTACTAAGCCTCCTCCTTGCTTCGTTGATGGAAGAAGCCCTGTCTATTGTTGTTGGCCTGACCTCTTTGCATGCAGTCTGGTCCACTTTGGAGACCACCTTCAATCATCGTTCCAAATCCTGAGAGCTGCATTTAAAAGATGAATTGCAGCACATGAAGAAAGATGCTCAGTCTGTTGTTGAATATTCCCGTGAGTTCAAATTTGTTTGTGACCAGCTTGCTGCTATGGGTCGCTCCGTATATGACCTCGACAAAATACACTGGTATTTACGTGGACTTGGCTCTGCTTTCTCCACCTTTTCTACTACACAGTTATGTCTTTCATCTCTCCCTTCTTTTATTGAGACTGTTCCCATGGCGAAGAGTTATGAAAATTTTGTTAAATCATTGGAGCTGCCTTCCACGGGATCCACTTCTACCGCCTTCACTACCTCTCACAGTAACAAATTTGCCTCTACTCATGGGGGTGGCCGTGCTTCTCATGGGGGTGGCCATGCTTCTCATGGGGGTCGTAGTCGTGGTGGTGGTCGTCATCAACGTAGCCATCCTATTCGTTGTCAGATTTGTCATGGGGAAAGGCATTATGCCATTTCTTGCTGTGACTGCTACTCCCATTCCTCAAATGCTGCCAACCTTGTGAAGGCTTTTACCTCATGCACACTCAATGATAATCAAGCTTCTGATTGGTATACGGACACCAGAGCCACTGCGCACATGACTAATGATGCTACTCAGTTGGACAAGTCTAATACATACACTGATAAGGATCATGTTATTGTCGGTAATGGTGCCTCTCTTCCCATTTCTCACACTGGTACCCTCTCTCCAACCTTTTCCCTTCCTTTAAAGGATGTCTTAGTTGTGTCTGGCTTAACCAAAAATATGATTTCCATTAGTAAACTTACCTCTGATTTCCACAAGAAAGGTGGTGGCAGCCGGACGACGTGAAGACGGTCTTTATGTGCTTGAGCGTGGACATCAATCTTTAATTTCTATTTTCTCTAATAATTGTCCTCGAGCTTCATTCGATGTTTGGCATGCTCGTTTGGGTCATGTGTCTCACTCTATTATTTCTCTTTTGAATAAAAATAGTCAATTATGTGTGACTTCTTTACTTCCTACTCCCACTATTTGTTCTAGTTGTCAACTTGCAAAAAGTCATAGACTTCCATTTCAACATAATGGCAAATGGGCATCTCATGTTTTGGATCTTATTCATTGTGATTTATGGGGTCCATCTCCCGTTCTATCCAATATGGGTTATAAATATTATGTCATTTTTGTTGATGATCATTCCCGATTTACGTGGCTCTATCCTTTGAAATTTAAATTCGATTTTTACCGCATTTTTCTTCAATTTCAAAAATTTGTGGAAAATCAGTTTTCGGTTAAAATCAAAGTATTTCAAAGTGATGGAGGCACTGAATTTACCAATCATAATTTTCGGGATCATTTACTAAATTGCGACATTCATCATCAAATGTCTTGTCCTTATACACCGGCCCAAAACGGTCGTGCCGAGCGCAAACATCGTCATATAACAGAAACTGGTTTAGCGATGCTCTTTCACTCACACGTCCCTCTGAAATTTTGGGTTGATGCCTTTATCACGACTGCTTTCACCATTAATCGGTTGCCCACGCCTACTCTTGATGTTTTGTCTTCTTTTGAGCTTCTGTATGGTAAGTCTCCCATTTATTCCAATTTTCATCCTTTTGGTTGCCTTGTATTTCCATACTTACGCAATTATGCTTCTCACAAATTAGCTCCTCACAGTCATCCATGTGTTTTTCTTGGCTACAGTATGTCTCACAATGGCTTTCGTTGTCTTGATCGTTCCACTAATCATGTCTTTATTTCCAGGCATGCTATTTTTGATGAACTTAATTACCCTTTTAAGGGAACTCCTTGCTCTAGGCCCTTGCCTAACTCTCCTGTTAGTGCATTTCTTGAGCCTCCTACCATCCCAGTGGCTGAATTACTGACTCAGCCCGATCCCATACCACATCCATGTGGTTCTTGCTTAACTGGCCCATTTGCTAGTTTTGTGCCTCTTTCTGTTTTGTAGGCACCCAATGTTGAGCCCACTATCCCTTTGGTGCATGAGCCTTCGCATGGCTCAACTATCATGCCCGCTGACCCAGATCATGTCACCAACGTATCCTCCCCTACAGCCTCGGGCCGTCCTCCTCTAATTGGCACTCATTCCATGCAGACTCGAGCTAAATCGGGAATTTTCAAGCCTGCCCATTGATCCCATGTGTGCCTAGTTCCTCACTCTGGCCTGTTCCGCTCTCTTCTCACCATGTGCGAGCCCAAAGGCTTCAAGTCCACTGCCAAACATCCTGGTTGGATTGCTGCCACGGATGAATAAATTCAGGCCCTTCATAAGAATCATACATGGGATCTGGTACCTAAACCGGCCAACAAAAATGTCGTGGGCTCCAAATGGGTTTTCCATGGCAGATATCTATCCGATGGCATTGTGGATCTGATGACACTATGGATCGTCTTAAGGCTCATCTTGTTGCAAAGGGACACACACAACAACTGGGCCTTGACTTCACTGATACTTTTAGTCCTGTTGTCAAGGCTTCCACAGTCAAAGTCGTTTTATCCCTAGCCGTCTCTAATAATTAGCCTCTTCGGTAGATTGACGTAAAGAATGCATTTCTTAATGATCTTTTGCAAGAAGAGGTTTATATGGATCAATCATTTGGATATGTTTATCCTAAATATCCCACACATGTTTGTCAGCTTTGTCGGGCCTTCTATGGTCTCAAGCTAGCTCCACGTGCTTGGTTCCATCACTTTATCTCTTTTCTCTTGGCTATTGGCTTCATTTGTAGTTGTGCTGACTCATCTTTATTTGTTCTTTCCAAGGGTGCTGACTTAATCTATTTATTACTCTATGTTGACAACATTGTCATGACTGGCAGCAATTCGACACTCCTCGATGGATTTATTAGCAAGCTGACTCATGAATTTGCCACCAAGGACCTTAGATCTTTTAACTATTTTTTGGGCTTGGAAGCTCATAGCACGTCTATTGGTCTTTTTCTTAGCCAAGCCAAGTACGCCCATGAGATCTTACAATGTGCACAGTTAGTTGACTCCAAACCAATGGGTACTCCCATGGTGGTCGCTCAGCACCTTTCCACAGTTGGCCCAGATTTTGATGATCCATCCCTCTATCGATCGCTCATAGGTGCCCTTCAATATCTCACAATCACTCGTCCGGATTTTACTCATGTTGTACGTGTTGTCAGTCAGTTCATGCATAAGCCGTCTATTTTTCATTTTCAGACTGTTAAAAGAATACTACGCTACGTTAAGGAGATTTTTCGGTTTGGTTTATCCTTCACTCCATCTTCTTCTAGAGAACTCATTGCTTATTCAGATGCCGATTGGGCTGGGTGTCCCGATACGCATCGCTTAATTTCTGGTTATGCCATTTATTTTGGTGGTAATCCAGTGTCCTAGAGTTCCAAAAAGCAACCAATGGTTTCCCCGTCCAGTTGTGAATCTGAATATCGGGAATTGGCCCTCACTGTCGCTGAAGTTAAGTGGCTGCAACATCTTTTTCAGGATCTTCATGTGTCTTCTCCATCTCCTCCGATCATGCTTTGTGATAATCAAAGCTCCATTTTTCCCATTGGCAATCCAGTCTCGCATAAGCGTTCTAAGCACATTGATTTGGATTATCATTTTGTGAGAGAACTGGTGGCCTCCGGAGAACTCAAGATTCGTTATGTCCCCACTCACTTACAAATTGCTGACATGTTCACCAAAAGTCTCGGCCAACCTACCTTCATATTTTTATGTTCCAAGCTTCGCATCTGTGATTTCGAGACACTAGGCTTGCAGGGGGGTATTACGGATATAGAAGGATCTGCAAGATCCTCCTCAAATCATGTTGTATCTTTTATCAAAACCCAATCCCATGATTCTAGGCAATCCCTTGATTATAGACAATAACTATAGATAGAAATGTTGACTTTGTACGTAAATCATCTTGCTGTAATATTGCTCTGTATATTCTATAAATGAGACGTGCACCACCAGAAAACTTCACGGTGGTTTTTCAAACCTTGTCAGTTACGTTATGCAAAATCCAATTAACTTGTTTAGGTCCCTCTAGTTTAAAAAAGAAACTCTAGATTTGACTTAAAGACACACACACACAAAAAAAAAAAAAAAAAAAAAAAAACCAACGAATAATGTGGCTATCTTGAAAGTTCACGAAGGGGTGGATTGGGATATGTAAAATATTTGGTTTTGAAGCATCTCACCATTTTTGTTAGGGTTTTATTGATCTCAGGTTATGCACAGCTAGGGTATTTTTTGGTTAATGTTGGGTTACAAACTTGCATGCAAGTATGTCATTATAGTAGAATAGTATATGAATTGCTTTGATGCCTTATATGTTAATTAGGGTTTGCAAAAAATTTGAGTTATGTATATGTGTCTTGGTTTATAAAGTGTCTTTCAAGTCCTTTCTGGCTAAATGCTCTTCAATATGTTCTTTATCTTTTTTTTTTTTTTTTTTTTTTTAATTGAACTATTATTCGTTAAGTTCCTATTATTCGGTTTATATTGTTTTTGATGAAATGGGATTTTGTGTGCATGTTTTTTGCTTTTATTTTTGTATCAATTAGTGGGTATATTTTAAATATTTGGAAAAAGAAAAAATTGACATGGGGTTGGTCAAAACTTAGGTTATGACTAAGTGTAATAGGTGACTTAGGACAAACCAGGTTCTATTGGAGTGAAAATAGAAAGAAAATTAAGGTTCTAACTTAGTTGGTTTATGTTATGTTAAGGTTTTCATTGAAAAAAAAATGTATTCATTAATGATGATGTATATGTTTTAGGTTGTATGTACTATATTGATAATTTAGTATCTATAGGGTTGTTGGTATTGTACTCACAATAAAGTTTTGTATTGTATTAAATAGTGAGATGTATATGATATATTTGTGTTCTGTAAGATGAAGCCACAAATGTTTAATTTTAAATTTCGATTATTTGGTATTGACTGTGAGATTAGGAATGTAGACCCTGATGAATTTAGTTATATAGTGTTCATTAAGGACATGAAAAAATGTGTGGCTAAAGAGAATGAGGAAGTATACCTTTATCCTAATAAGAAGTTTAAGGTAGAAGCTAGGTTACCTTTGTCTGGGCAGAGATATTTATTAGACAGTGATCAAGATTTAGCCTTTATTTTCCAATAATATATGTTAAAAGCGTTAGTAGACATTAAGTTGTTTGTTGAAGCAATACTTGTAGAAAGTATTAAACCCTTACAAGCTTTGCCAGAACCTAATCCTAGGGAACCAACTCATGAGCAATCAAAATTTCCCCTAGAAGAGTGTTGTGAGGATGAGTTCCATTGGAGTGATGCATATGACGATGATGATGAGAATGAAAATCAGAATGTCAATGGGATCAGTGATGGAAATGGTGAGGGGAATGTAGGTATTGAGGGTAATGTAGGTACTAAAGGTGATGTTTTTGGTGGTAATAAAGATAAGAGAGAGGTTGAAAGTAGGGGCATGTTGTCTGATTATGAGTCTAATAATGAGGATATCATAGGATCAAGGTCTAGTGAGGATGATGATTTAGTAAGTTGAATGAGTAGGTATATGAAGAGTAATGAGTTTAAGAATAGAGCTAATGGGAAGATTTATTTTGAGGTAGGGTAGGTGTTTAAGGGTGTTGAGCATTTTAGAAATGTATTGAAGGATTATATAATTCAAAGAGGTTTTGCTAATATGAAGGTGTATAATAAGAAAATGAGGATTAAATAAGTTTGTTAAAAAAAAAAAAAAAAAAGGGTTGTCCATTCCATATTTATGCAGCTTTAATGATAAATAAGAAATCGTATCAACTTAGAAAATATGAACACACACACACTCGCCTGAGAGTCTATAATAATTCTGATGTCATACCCATGGATTGCTAGTAAATAGGTGACTTTATTAAGTCACATAAGGCAAGTTGTGTAAAGCCTTTAGATGTTGAACTAGGAAGGGTAAATTATTTGGAGATGTCTAATCATAAGTTGTATAAGGCTAAGAGAATTGTCATTGGTATAACCTTAAAAGAAGATACTGATTGTATGGGCCAAAAATCGCATTGGATTTATCAAGCCCAATAATGAAATGAACAATCCACGACCTAGTGCCTTAGCCTAATTTCAGTTGGGCCAATGCTTAAATTTATCTTATGGATTGACCATCCAATGGGAGGGCCCACTTTGTAAAAAGAATCATTCTATGGGTCGGTCCATTCTACGAGCTGCACCACACCATGAGTCAACCCTCTCCACAAGTTGGGTTGCTTTACGAGTTGGGTCTCTTTCCAATCAGTGCCACCCTACGAACTAGGCCAACTTATGTTTTTGGCAATTCCATGAGGTGAGCCTTTCAACAAGATTAAGCCAATTTGGGCTCCAACTTATTAGCCCATACGCGTCCCAGAATAGGACTCGGAGTTCTACTTACTTCCTAGTTCTTTCAAGATTCCTAATCTTACATGAATTAGTAATACTATTTCCACATGGATAAGCATTATGATTTTCCTATTCACTCAAACTCCTAAACTATGACTCAGAGTTCTAGTAGGATTCAAGCCTCCTTGGCTCACTATATAAACAGGGGTCAAGCCTCTCATTATTCATTCACAAATAGCTTATAGCTTTAGTTCTCAAAAGTTCTTGCTCCCAAGAACTGCTGCCTCTCTTGCAATAAAGTTTAGTTCCGATTAACTTTACCTCTCTTAGCCGTTGTAAAGCTATACTCTGACCACTTTATGTTAGTCTTGCCCTAGCCACATTAACGGTAAACGCTTTCCCACCCTCAACCCCCACTAAAATACCTTTAATCATACTAACTTGAGCGTTGGAGTGCTTATAGCAGACACCACACCGATGTCCCCTGTAACACCCCACTTAAGGTATGTAGTTAAATTATTGTTGCATTGCTTGAATGTTTATTTTTGGTTGGTTGGCCCTTTGTTAAAGTTATTTTGAGAAAAATGTGAAGAAAATCCCTTAAACTTTCATTAGGGGTAAAATTGTCTTTTCACTCAAAATTAGTTGAAAAATTGGGGAGTGAAAAGAGATAGAATTTCATGGAGAATGTAATAAAAATGAGGGCATTATTGTAATTGACTAAGGGATATAGATGGAATTTCATAGAAAGTGTAAGGGCAAAATGGGAAACTAATATATATATATTATTATGTAATAAGAGTTCAAGAGTAGAAACCCTAGCCACTCTATCCCTCCATTCATGCCATTCTCTACTCAAATTCTCTCAAATTTTTTCACTAGATTTCCAAGGAAATTCATAGATTTTGGGTATTTTTTGAGTGGATTTTCAATCCTAAGCATCCAAAGGTAAGATTCTTGCATCAAGATGTGAGATTAAATTTTAAAGTTTTGAATTCTTATGGTTTTATATGCTTAGGGTTTAAGAGGAAAGTGAATTCTATCAAAGAGAGATTATAGTGTTGGAGTTGCTCAAATTCAAGGTAAGTAAATTCAACCCAAGTTATGATTTGAGAAATCAAGGGTGTAGAGATTTTACATATGTGTATATGTTTATGATTTTGAGAATTGTTGATGAAATTGATGAATTATTGAGGAGTTTGATGATTATTAATGAGTAGAATTTAGTCATGAGAAGTGGTTTTGGTTGTATGATGATTCATTGAAGTTTGGTTGAAGTTAGAAAGAGTTGAGTAGAATTTTTGGGAGTGTATTATTTTTGGCAGGTTTAGTAGTTGTTTTGTTGGAGTTTTACTCCAAATATTGGTGACTTGATAAAGAGATAGAATGGTAGCCAAATTCGAATTGAGTATGCCTGCAATATGTTTGATGAAATGCCTAAGTGAAGAGCCTAAGTGAAAACTGCCCTGTCACGTCCGTGACCGTCTGAGTGATTTTTGGGTATCTTAGAGATTGAATTGGGTTAATACTTAAACATAAAAGTTATAACCCTGTCTCTAAGCTTTAAAACGAGACAAAAATCGTAGCAATCCGATGTGTATAACTCAAGTTATGCCCTCTTGAGTGTGACCTGCGCAGAGTGGTTGTCTTTGATGCAACATTGCATTTGTGCTTTTCATGAGTGTATTAATGAGCATGAATCATCCATATGCATTAATTATGCATTAGAGAAAGAGTAAAAAAAGAGTACAGAACTTTGAGTGTGAGCTTTATTAAGAGAAAAGAGAGAAAAAGATAATAGAGTAGGTTGTGCGATGGGGAACCCGTGAGTAATGGGTAGAGTATTCCCGCATGTACGCCGCATTGAGAGAGCGGCATGAGTATGAGAGAGAGAAGTGGTGTAGCCCGTGAGAGTGCATGCGGATGAGGGTTATACCCGAGAGAGAGATTATATACTCACATGGCCAAGGGTTCCGAATCCATGCATAACCGAGTTCGATCGGCTAAGAACGAGTAAAAGTCATGG